GTGTGATAAGTGTTGGCCATGTAGGTTTGACTGTGGTATATATTGTTTTAAAGTCTTTGGCTTTGCACAGCTGGACTTGTGCACAGTGTATTTCATTTCCTGGTAGAATTCTCAGCATGCAACGAGTAAATGAACTCAGTTACATTACTGCTTAGTGAAGTATTACTCCAGGGGAAGTATTCCAATGTCTAGATCCCTCTCTAATTCCTGCTTTTGAGTATTAGCTTTAGTACTCAGGGGCTGCATTTATAATGCCTGCATTAATTGTTCAATGATTAGTTAGTGTCAGCTGGGGAAGAATCTTTCGTCGTTAACTGCAGCATTTTATGGTTTAGCTGCTCTGAGAATAGCCTTGCTGCCCCTTTGTGGTGGTAGCCATGGCAAAAATGAAGGTTCCAACTCCTTCCTGGTTATATTTCATAATTTGGCAAAATAATTTAAATCTTTCTGGTTCAAGCTAAAGTCACGAAGATATAACAGGACCCTGAAGCTCATGGGAGTTATATGTACTTCTTTCACAAAGGAAATAAGAGGTGAGGAAAAGAATGATGAACTAGGAGATTCTGAAATTGGGGTTCTTTTTCTGCATTAGTTTTTTAGGCAGGGAAAATTTATTTAATACATAAAATATATTACTTTTTTACATTGTGTAAAAGGCAATATCCTACATTTTTGTACTTATTTGCCTAATTATTAATGCAGCTATGGAAAGAGGCTGAAATAGGTTTAATTATATGTAATGGTTTCTTCTTCTTGCATTTTTTGATGTAGAAGTTGTTCCTCTTCACATGCTGAATTTCACATCTCTGTGGACAAACTGCCTCAGTTTTCCAGCAGTTGTCCTCACTGTAGCTCTCAGAATAATTGCCTTGAACTGCAGTTTCAAGCTGGGTTAGATGGAGTAGCAGTAATGTGCTATTAAAATGGCAAATGATGGCTGTACATAGTAATAGCAAATAATAGAAGTATTAAAAGGCTGGTCAGTTGTTTCTTCCTGTAGTTCTACTGTAATTAAATCCAGATAATCAAATCACTGAAGAAATGTGCTACTTTCAAGATCTTCTATACATCTCTGAGCCCATATTTTGTCTTCTCTGAGATCCTTCAGAAGTGTCTCATCCTGTATCAGGCCTGTATATGGATTGGGAAAGAAAGAACGTCATGGCTTTCTCACTTGTCAGGTTAATTAGGGAGCTCTCTTCAGGTTGCCTCCTGAAAGATGTTGCAATAGTGATCATTAACAGAATAGATTTGTTATTGCCAGTTGGTTTTATTACTTTGAAGAAAACAGTTAACCTACATTTCATAAGTTCGATTAAAATCTGTCCTCTTGGAGCAGAGCAATTTGCAACTTCCTAATATCAGTTAGAATGAACATATTTTATGTGTTTAGATTTGATGTCTTATGGTTTGGGATCACTACAGAAGGATCTTTTATTTCTTTAATCAGAAAATACTAGCAATTTGTTATAAGGGAAAAATCATAGTGGTATCTAACTGCAGGAAAATAAGGCATGAACTGATTTAGCAGGTTGTTGATGCTCTTCTGAGTCACTGACCTAGAAGGAAGAGTGTGATTTTTATGTACCATAGGTCAAAGCAGAGGAGATACATTTGTTCCATTTGCAAAACTGAAGAGTAACTTGAAATACTATAAATACTAAATTTGTAAAATAAGTACCTAATTCCTTGCAAAACAGGGAAGCAAAAATCTGTAGTTTTTTTTAAACTTCCATAATATAGTTTCTAAGGAAGGTGGACTGTTCTGGAGAAGTTTGTGTGTACTGATGAACTCCAAGTTTTACTTTAGAATAAAATTTTCACAAATTTTGTGGAAGCAACCTGGTAAGGTTTCTGCAGTTAATTGATCTTATCAATGGCTTGTAGGTGGGGGGGGGGGGCATATAAACAATAAATTACTAAAGAAGAAAGACAGGCTAGGATTTTTTTTGTCTGAGATGTTATGATAATGTAGCATAAGTTTCTTGAATGCTTTGTGTGTTACCTTGTATTTTTTAAGAAAGGAGGGGAAACCAGCACTTGCACAATATATACAGCTATCCCTTGAATTAAGGATATGGTAATATTTTAACAGTCCTCAAAAACTGAGTTGTTTTGGATGTGTATGAGCTGCCATCTCTGCTCTACATTTGGCTTGTTAGTAAGAGGTACAAAAGGGCTGGGACTTTGCTCTGGAGAGTGAAGTATAATTAGGCCAGTCTATGCTGACATTTTTTCTGTCACCACTGGCCTTAAGCACCTCCTTGTTTACCTTGCATCAGCTCAAAACTGGTTTGCAGTGACTAAAGGAGTGCCTGAGCCAGTCCAGGTGATGAGGTGGTGGCACAGCTCAGCAGTGAGGGCTGGGAAGGGCAGGAGGCATCGGCGCTCTGTGAGCTGGCCCTGCTGCCTGAGCTCGGACTGCGCAGGGAGCAAGGAGGACAAGTGGTGCTGGATTCCCAGAAGGTGCTGTGTTACACAGCTGCTGTGTAAAAGGTCTTGGTTTGGGAATCTGACAACTCACTGTGCTTACCATATAATTAAATAGTACATTAAAAACCAGTGTGCTGGCACAAGTACTAGTTAATGTATAGACACATTTGTTTCAGGGCTTGCACTTGATTTTCTTTCCTGAAGATAGCTTTAGTAATTATGCAAAAGGGATGGAGAGATTGACCTTTGAGAAAGATCATTTGAGATAGTGAAAACCAGCATGGAAGTAACATTTGCATTTGCTGTGAAAGGGACTGGCTCAGTGGGTTCCTGAGGAATGGCTACATTAAAGATAACTGAATCCTTTATAGCAAGATTTGAAGGCAGTGTGTTTTCCCCTCCTTAGACATCAGCTACTAACATGTGGCTGGTATTGCTTCTTTACTAGATGCAGGAAGAAGTGTATTTACAAACAGGATGAAAAGACTTGAGCATCACTTTTCTAAAATTTATGTAATACATTTCAGTAGTATGCACTTAAGTGGACATCAGTTACATAATATTAAAAGTAATGTGTATTTGTTTACAAATATACTTTTGCAGTTGGAATGTTGTCTGATTTTTTAGATGTTTTAGAAGTTTGTATGGCTGATGCTCTGCACTTCTTTTCCTGTGGTTACTGGCCTGTATTGCCATGTGCTATCTTGTCTGAGTCCCATTTGCAGATTCTGCAAAAATGTGGTTACAAGGGGCAAGGATTAATCAAAACGTTGGGAGGGACAAAAGGCAGATATGCACAGAGAAGAAAGGGTGGGGAAGAGCAAATAAGCAGATGCATGTTTGTTTCTCCTTGCCTGTGACTCACTTTTTCATAACAGAAGAATTTTCAAATGAAGAAGACAGCTAATTGAAAACAAACAGGAAGCAAGAAATAATTACCTCTGCACTGAACCATGAGAGAGTTCCGTACTTTCAGACTATTAAATTAACAAGCTACTTAATTTGTTTGGCTTTTAAGCATGTAACTTATAAAAGCTATATAATATACTATTATGTTAATAGAGAGTATTTAATACTATGGAGAGTATTATTTAGAATATAATGTGTTTGATTATTAATATAGTAAAGGCAGTCATAATTTCTTGATCTATCCATAATTTACGCTTACCTTCATCTTTATCAGCTTATGACGAAATACTGTTTTTTTTTGTTCAATTGAAGATCTAAGGCGTATCTGTTGCAGGGAGGGAAGTCTTTCACATACTGCTTTTCATTCTTTTCACATACTGCATTTCATTTCAAACACCTAGTTGAGCTTTCCTGTGCTGGCATTCCCCTTGATTACCGAGTCCAGTGACGCAGTGGAATTCTAGCTCTGTGCTTGGGGCCACTGGGTTGTGCCATATAAGATCCATATCATACCCTTGGTGTCATTTTCCAATATAAGATCTAAGGAGCCCTGGTGCTCTACTCTCACTCCATTCAAAACCCATCTTTCCCCTTCACACTGTGGTTTTGAGCTATGTATCATGGTTTTTTTGAGGCCTGGAATAATAGAGACAATTAAAAACAGGGAAATTTTGCAGGAAATGCAGAAAAAAGGAAAGGTGAATTGCTTTTATGAGGAAAAAGATGGAAATACATTCATTTCTCTGAACGCAACATCTTTTTCCCCAACCTTATGCCTGCTTTGGGACTTGATGAGATTATTTATGAGTGCAGGAAGCCAGTGATTTCTATCATCCGGCAGTTCCTGTAGCAGCTATTGTTATCTTGGAGTAGTGAGATTGACTCATTCCAATAGTTACACCTGGCTGTCAGTAGCATTCTGGTCCCCTCTCTTGTGCTGTCATTGCTCAGGTCATAGCCAGGTGCTCTGGTCTTCTGCTAGGTGATTCATTTGTAACCTCTTCTCAGATGCAGAAGTTTTGACTACAAGTCTTGTGTCATAAAAGCAGTTTCAGATCCGGTAAGTTGCTATTAACATTTAGTTAACTCTGCAGATGGGTATTCACAAAAGTACTTGAAATCTTGAAATTTAGTTAATGATGTGAACTAGTATTGCTAAGAAGTAAAAGCATCCTGTTGGTTTTCTTTAAGTCATCATGGTCTTTTATTGCAACTCCTGAATTCTATCTTTTGCCAGAAGTTTTCCTGCAGTAGCCTTCCCTGCAGCATGATTGCTATGCAATACAATTACCTTGAATATGTGAGCAGTTAGAAATTTTGTGTGTTGACCAACTCAAATATCAATTGTTTTATGTATGTGGCAAAAGGTGTTGCTGGCTAATGACGTGTGATCCTCTATTGCAGGCAGTAGTTCAGGCACACTTTGTAGCAATGATTTGCATACTGTATGCACTAGAATTCAATCATATGTGAACTCAAAATCAAATACAAATACTTCTTGATGATGGGAAGGTTTGCGTCCTGATGAGGGTGTTTAGAGTTTGATATATTTGTTATCTTCTAAAAATAAATAATATATAAATAAAATTTTACTTGTGCTTGTTTTTCTTGTGTTACTTTTCCCTAATATCTTATTGTTGTTTTTATTTTGTTTGCAGTTCTACCTTCAAGACACTAAAAGTAGTAATGGTACCTTTATTAATAGTCAGAGACTGAGTAGAGGATCTGAGGAAAGCCCACCATGTGAAATTATGTCAGGTGACATCATCCAGTTTGGTGTAGATGTGACGGAGAACACGCGGAAAGGTAAGGGTATGGATCATTTTTTGGTTTCTTTTCAAGTATATTTATTTGGAACATGACTGCAATCCAGTCTTTAAAACTAAATGGCATTCCCATTGTAAGAAAGCAGTCTTGTTTGGCTTTTTCTTGCATCTTCCATCCTTTGTGCTGTCAGTGAGTCCTGGCCCCATGTGGTACCTGATCAAGAAACACGTCTTCTGAAAACACAGACTCTATTTCTACCCTCACACCCCCAGATGGACTTTACTGGGTTGTTCCCATGGCCTACTTTCTTCCCTTACTGTGTGCAGGGGAAGTGTAGGTCTGGAAAAGGAGGATCAACTGGGGCTACGTGTTCATCTATTGCCTCACTTAAATTGGCCTACAGCAATTTTAAAAGTGCAACACAAGCGTGTATGTGTAATGCTGTATTGGGCTTTTTGTATTTGGATTTTATTATTACAATTGTAATTACCTTCCTTTCAAGCCCTTTGAACCTTAAGGTTTCAGCTAATAGTTTGGCAGAACTATGAACCTGAATTTCTTGATCAAGTAGTCAGTGTAGGTTTGAAACAGGCTAACTTAATTCTTTTCAGGATACCCACTGTTTCCTTCTGTGTCAGCTACTGATTTTGATTTCTGCAGGTACTTTAAAATGAGAATAGAAAAAAGTTACTAGCTGACAAATGAGGTGATGGCATTTTTTGTTTGGTGTTTTTCTTGCTGTCTTCTTCTCAGTATGCACGCTCAGGAGATTTTTTATTAAGGCAATAGCTCTGTATCTATGTTAATCAAAATGCAGCCTCTATCTCTTTTCTTTTGAAATTATGTAGTATGTCAGAAACCATTTATTTATCCTTCTGGAGACTGGTCTGTATAGGGATTATCAGATTGTAAGCAATTTTTTCAAGACTTTTTCAAGTTGCTGGGTGGGTCTGCTCCTTTCTGTGTAGGCCTAGAACTTCTGGCCATATTCTGTAGAATCATACTTACTCAGTAACACACAGATTTGGCAACGAAATGTCAACTGCCATCACCCCTTTACTGCTTTTCTGAACAAGACCTTCATAGAGCTTATCCTTACAGAGAAGTGTATTAGAGAAGAATTAAAGAATAATATTCAATTGGAAGGCTGATGATAAAGTTTTTTAAAACAAGCGAATAAATGAAACGTCCATCAAAGCAAATCTTTCACAAACCAAGTCCCCCCAAAGCCCAACACACCAAACCATAAATACAACAGGAGAATTATTAAAGTGCATTAAGTGAACAAAACATAAAGATGACACCTGCTCTGTTACTCATGAATTTTGTCTTCAGCCAGACAGGGTTGTAATTCTCAGGTCTGAAGTATCAGAGGAGGGTTAATGAATGTGTGTAAAGAAGGCATTGTTAAGTAATGGTTGTAGTGGTATTTTGTCATCAAGAGGTTTTGGAGCTGTAGGAATTTTGAGTGATTCATTGTAGTGAAGGTTTTATCACATTGTTTTACTCTTCTCAAAAATTATGTTTAAAAGATTCGACTCCAGGACGCCTAGCTGAAATTGCTGGGAGTTATTTAAAATGTTTCCATGTGAAGTGATTGCAACATTCATGAATACTAGCAGTACACATGGAAGAGATCAAAAGTATACACTGCATGTAATGAACTTGGAACTATTAATTTGATGAGATTGTGTCCTTGCTAAGAGAAGCTGAATTTCTTCAAGTGTATTTAGACTAAAACAATTTTTATTATAAGATTTAGTTGGACGAGAAATTGGACTTAACTTGCTTTTATCAGCACATTGCAGTTAGTTCATGGAAACATTTGTGGAAAGTTCATGGTAAGCAAATTCTTGCCATGAATTTTTGCCAGTAGTAGTTATTTGCTGTGGTTTTATGTTAGTTTTACAAAGCGTGATACATTACACAAATGCTGGTGACCTGGCATTTGTGTAATGAGTGATCAGATTATACAGCCTTCCTTGTCCTGTTCTCTGGCTTTGAACTTGGAAGCAGTGCTCATGTTACTCATTAATGTGTTGAGCTCGCTAATGAGGAAGAGGATACAAGTTTGCTTTCTCCCTCTCTGCTTCCCCAAGCAGAGAATGAAGATTGTATCATGACAGAGTTTAGTGGTTAGAATGCATATAAACATGAGTTTTTCACCAGTTGGTTTCAGTAGTCTTAGATGTTATTGTTAATCTAATCTAGTCATGAAACAGACAGGAAAGTAGTTTTAAAGTTTGTGATTCCCTTTAAAAGCACTTTGCACTCTGGTATTTACATAATGCCTTACTTGCACAAGACATTTCAGCAATCTGCTGTGTGTAATTATAAGGTAATGACAGCACAGAACGAGTGCACTTGCCCATGTAAATTCTGAATTATGTCAGTACTGCTAGAATACATTTATTTTATCGTTCAGTCTGTGTTTTAGTAAGTAATTTCCTTGCAAATGTGATCTGGATTTGGTTCATTAAAATAATGGCATGTTCAGTATGTGATTTTTCAGGTTATCAAGTATGAGCACCAATTCCTCAGTTTCCTGCTGCTGAGCCAGAGTCAGTAACAGGTCCTGGAGAAGCATTTGCATCCCTCCTCCTTCCTTATTTGTGGACTTGCTGTGTTACTGACAAGCTCAGGGGCCTGGCCATTTCCCCCTCCTTAATACAGCACTTACCTATGAACATCTCACTGTGCTTTTCTGTGTGGTTTATATTCTTTTAGCACTTTCTTAATTTCCCACTTGTGTCAGAGCATTCCAAGCTAATTGGTGATACTACCTGCACAGCAAGCAGCACCAGCATTGCAAAGCAAGGTCAAATAATAGCAACACGATTTAGTTCAAATGCAGTTTATGCACATTTTTCTAGTCAGGTTTGGACTCACTCATACATCTGTTCTGTCATGGGATGTTTGAGGGAGGTAATGCAGGTGGGGAGCCCCACAGCAGTGTGTGCGGCAGGGCAGTGCACAGACACAGGGCGTGTGGGGGCTCCTCAGGGCTAGGTACCACATTAATGGGTGAAAATAAAAACAAGAGCATCCTTGGCGAGTTGTCTCTCTAGGAAGCAGAAACTGAGACAAATAAAAATGGTTTCTGTTGTGTTATAGCTCAGCAGAAACTGTCGAGGTTTAGGACAGGTCTCGGGGGTTTTGGAGCTGTGAAATGTGGGGCAGCTCCGTGTTTTGAAGGGTACCAACAAGTTTATGACTCAGGTGTGGAACACCAGACGGAACCAGGAGGAGGGTTTTACTCCGTGGAGAGAGCTGTGGATGTGGGGCGGCTGTTTCACGCTGTGGGGGGGAGCCGTGCTGTGGGGCGGCAGTTTGGTGCTATGGAGGGAGCCGTGCTGTGGGGCGGCAGTTTGGTGCTGTGGGGCGGCAGTTCGGTGCTATGGAGGGAGCCGTGCTGTGGGGCGGCAGTTTGGTGCTGTGGGGCGGCAGTTTGATCCTGTGGGGGAGCCGTGCTGTGGGGCGGCTGTTCCCGCTCCGGAGGGCGCGGGCGGGCCGGGCCGGGCCGGGCCGGGGCGGGGCGCGCTCGGCGGCCGCGGTGGCGGCGCTGGGGCGTCCCCTGGCGGCGGCGCTGCGCAGTGCCGGCTGTGCCGGGGCCGGGCGGGAGCGGCGGCCCCGCGGAGCGCCCGGAGGTGAGTGGGATGGAGAGGGGGTCAGCTCCGGGAACAAGGGGTGCCTCAGCTCCGTTGGGAAACCAGGCGTTGCTTTACATGTTTTTCTTGTTAATTCCTCACAAGAAATACTGTAGACCTGAATTTAAACCATTGCTGCTCTTATGTGCAGTCAGTACTGTGTTCATATTTTCTGTGTTGCTTTACCTCAGGCTTTCTCCTTATTTTTCCAATTGCAATGAACTGATAACTAAGGGTCAGACTGCAGAATTTGGATGTTGTTTCCTTTCTTACTATTTTAATTTTATAGGTTTGTCAAAATGCTTGGTACCTTTTCCCAGTCTCTGTCTATTTGAGACCTTTTGCTAGATGCCCATTGTATCTTAATTTGACACAAATAAAGCTCCTGCAGATTTTAGGAGATTTTTGACAGTCTAGCTGTTGACAGAAAAACTTCAGAATTAAATAATCTTACAGCAGATCTACCTGATATGTGACCGGAAGGTAAAGCTGTCTCTTGCCATTTAATATCAGGTATCCTAATGTTTTCTTATTAAAATCGCTGATTTCCTCTAAAAGAAAGAATTCTGCATTATGAAAGATATGTATTACAGGGTACAGCTAATACTGCCAATGTATTTTTAAAATGTTTTTGCAAACTTGATTTATTCCATTATATATAAAGACCCCAAACCCTGCAGTTTAATCTGTTCTGCCCTGGCATGTAAATATAATACTTTACCAGGCCAGCTTGAAAAAACAACATGCTCTAGCCAGGAGAATATATCTCCAAAGCAATAGCTAAATAAAGGTTAAAACAAACTTGTCTTGGTTGGCTCATTTCTCCTCTATATTTAGATTCTATTGAGGTAGCTTCCTTAAAGACCTGTCTCATTTCCTTGGGGTATTACCAGTGTCCTAAAACTCCCATTGCCTTTTTTTCTTTTTTTTATTTCAAAGCCAGATTACCTGTTTTGCCGATATTAATAACCGAGAAAGGAGAGCAGCTATTTGTTTTTGTATGTTAGTGGGTGCTGGAGATGTAGTGGTCCATGATAGGTGACCACACACTCATTTGTATCTCACTTGTGGTAGTGTTTTGGGAACAATGTACAGCTATGTCTCCATGTATGTGGAAATAATTTTTGCTTCCCAATTAATGGAACCATACAGGGAAAAAAAATCAGCCAAGACACATACATAATTTGACTGTTTGCAAAGGCATTGAAAATTATATCAATAACATCTTTCAAAGCATTGGGTAGAAGGTTTGAACTTGATATAAAAATCAAATATTGCATTTCCTCCTCTTATTCCTTAGGATCTTCCTCAAGTTAAACAAGTCTTGAATTTAGTCCTCAAGGAACAAGTTTACCTCTTGTGAAATGGTAGGCCACTTGTCTAGGGCTATGCAGTAGATGTGCACTACAAGCACCCCAAAATAGAAATGTGTTGTCTTGAATGGTGCTGCTTATGGTGTTCAAAAGGATGTACTTCTCAGTGGTTCCTACACACTTCCTGTGCATTTGCTTTTCAAACCTTTTTTGTAAATAATAATAATTGCTTGGCGAGTTCCAGATTTGAAGTAAATGTTGGTAACACAAATTGGATGTGTTAACTTCTAAGTCCCTGGATATGCTTGTTGTAATCTTGTCAAAAAGGTAACTCATTATGTTGTTCGTACCTCTGCATTCCAGTTACCTGGTGCAGGTAAGATGCATTCCTCTTTACTAATTTATGATGAAAACATTCATTTTTTAACTTATTATAGTAAGGAAAAGTTTCAGGTATTGCTGCACATGGAAGAGTTGGAACTGGAACTGCTCCACAGCCAGGACTGGAGTACACAGCATAACCTCTTCCAGTTTGTAATGATGAAGTTTCCTGTGTCCAGAGGAGGTTTGAGAAGGCAGACCAGGCACTGGTGCTTGGAGGTGTTCATGCCTCCTCCTCTTTGCCTGTCTCAGGGTTTCTTAAGACAGTTTGCTTGGTTACTGTTACATTAAGCACTCTACTTAAAATGAAGTAGTAATAGATCATGATGACTTAGTATTTGTTTCTTTTCAGTTACCCATGGATGTATAGTCTCCACAATCAAACTGTTCCTTCCAGATGGAATGGAAGCTCGATTGCGATCAGAGTAAGAATATTTATTCACAATATTCAAAATTCAGCTACTGTATGATGAGGATTTGATGGGTATTATGTTTTAAATCATCATGGGATCAGTTGATTTTCCTATAATCCTGCAAAGGGAGTAACTGAGTGCATGGTTCTTTTGAAGGCATTATGAGAAAAAGAAAAAACTCAGTTGCTTGTTGTTTTTAGTAATTAAGACAACTGTGAAGAATAAAGAAGTTCTCTAAAAGAAAAAAATTCCTATATATTTAGGCTTTTCTGACTGTGGCTTACTCTACTGAAATGGATATTAGACACAGAATAATATAGAGAAAAATAAAGCAAATTGGCAAATTGTCCTGCCCTCTTTCTTTATTAGTGATTGCTATTTTGACTCTTTTAAATGCACATAAACTTATTTATGTATTTTGTGTCTACTTTTTTTTTAGTGTTATCCATGCACCATTACCAAGTCCTGTTGACAAGGTAATTCAGTAATTTGCTGGTTTGGCCTTATTCACACACATGCTATTTTCAGACTTGTTCTAAAGATGAAGAAATAGTGAAATCTGTCCAGTAATAACTTGATATGTTTTACACTGACTGTTTTTACTTAGTTTAATATTTTGAGTTACATTTAAGGTAGAGAAATAATGCAGTATTACAGTGTATATTTGAAGGTAAGTTGACTTTTTACATTGTGGCACCTGAAACATGGCTTTGGAACAAAACCATTGATGTTAAGATGTTTAATTTCCAGGTGCAGGCTGACAGACTAACAGGTGTTGCATAATTTAATATGTGATGTTCTGTGGCACCCAAGAGTAGTTTATGATTTGGTGTTTGGATGAGGTCTGTTTTATGTTTTTTATGGAGGAGAAGCTGTGCAGCACAGTCTGGGAAACACTGTCATGTTCCCAAGCAAGATTGAGACCAAACCTCTCTGCCTCTCTTGTAGAGCCAGAGCTGCTCACTGTAGAGTCATGGAATCAGCATTGTTTAGTGTAATTCTTAAACTCAGGTTTGGTAATGTGAGGGACTTGTAGAAAAGCTGATAATAGATATTCCCTTGAGAAAAGTGATCAGGAGTTGATTATTTCTCTAGTCTCTAAAAAGAAGGATTAACTCAAATAGGTTCTAATCAGAGTTTTATGCATGAAGAATAAAATATCAAGCAACTGTGGAAACTTACTTGTGAAACCAGCATCCTGAGGAGTTTATAGACTGTGTTTAAGCTGAGATTTTAGAAGTATGTGTTGTTTGAATCCAGGGCAAGGGGAGAAATCCTGAGGAGGGACTGCAGGTATAACTGTGGGAAAATAGTTTAAAATTATTTCAGTGTAGGAAGCCTACAAGAATTAGTAAATAAATAGGCTGTAATAAACCCAGAGAACAACCCCCCACTTCTCTCCAAGTGAAGAACAGTTTGTTACTATTCAGAGGTAATACAGGAATTCCTTAATTTTGAAATAGATACTTATAAAGGGAGACAAGGATGATAACTTGTGGGTCAGCAGGACGTGCAGCTGTAATATGGGTGATGACATCGAGTTGGAAGCCCACAATTTGTGTTTGTCATTGAGTTGAATGGCTTCACCTTTGTGCCCCTTGTTTCTTTATTGTCAGTTCAGTCTCAACTGTGCCAAAAGCTTTAAATTCATTAGTGTGTTGGTGGTTCAAGAAGTTGTGCAAAAACACAGTGGGATCTAAGTCCCAAGTTGGGAAGTTCTGTGATTAAAAAAAGCATAAATAATAACAGAACAAGAAATGAAGCAAAATGCTATTATTAATCTGAAGTTTACCTTTGTGAGTAGATTTAAGTGAATTTTGCACTACTTCTGTTTAATGAAAATTCCAAAGTCATTCTGATTCTTACTTGTCTTCTTTTTCAGGTTGCTGCTAACACTCCCAGTATGTATTCTCAGGAATTGTTTCAGCTTTCACAGTATCTACAAGTAAGTTTTCTTCTAAGGGCATTTTGTTTGGCTGAATATTTTTGTTCAAAATACAAATCTTATACTGTGGCTTGTATATATTGGAAACTACAAATGAAGGGACAGTGCTGGCAGCTCTTCTTCCTCACTGGCATCACCAGCCTTTCTGTGCCTGCTTCTGTGTCAGTTTAATAGGTGTGCTTTCCCAAGATGTCATGGCACAAAAGAGACTGGGAAATGTTAGCACATGGAACTGTGTGCTGATAGATAAAAGTAAACTCTTTAGAAAGAATGATGAAATCAACTTTCTGGGGAAAAAAATGAAAGCTTTTTTGCTGGTAAATGCTTTCCAGGTTTAACTGTGTGTAAGTTCTACTGATTTATTTTGCCTGGTTTTGTTTGATAATGGCAATTTTTACTTGTTCACATCAAGGCTTTTGAGATAGATACTATCTTTATATGTATTTGCTGACATAGCAGGAAGGAGCTGGTGCAGATGCTCATTCTTTAGAAGCCAAATACATATTCACTCACCAATCTGTTCTCTCTCCATATCCTGGAGTTAACGAAGATGCTCTTCTGTCTTCCTGTCATAAACCAAAAATCAAACAGAAATAGTAGTTCTTGCTTGGCATTTCTGTTTTGTGACCTAATTTGAGGATGAAGAGCTCATTGCATGGAAGCTGCCAAGCTGTCCTTTGGTGTCTGCTGTTTTGTTACTTAAATTATTGAGATGAAGTATTTTGAAGTCTTGGGAAGAATAACAGTGTGTCCTCAGCATGTGCAACATAGGAGGAAAAATGAATGGTTTAGAAACCTGAGGTTATAGGATAGCATTTTCTAATTAAACTATCCAAATAAATTTGTGGATGGATAAAATGAACGGGCTTATTATGGTTTTGAACAAGTTGACATTGTTTGCTACTCACATTTCCTTTTTTGTTGTATTTTGGGATCTCTTCTGTTGCTTGATTTCCTGAGTTGTTCTAGCTGAACTGACTGGTGCCCTGCTCTCTTCACAGGAAGCCTTACATCGGGAACAAATGTTGGAACAGAAGCTGGCAACCCTTCAGCGACTACTTGCTGTCACACAAGAGGCTTCAGATACTAGTTGGCAGGTATCTGCAGGATCCTTTCCTTATGGACTCAACTATGCACTGCCATATAAATTTTAGCTGTTAATGCAGGGAAAAAGAAGGAATAATAAAAAGTTTATGGTGGTTCTCTAAACTTGTGCAAAAGACAATGTGTAATAAATATAGTGGTTGTCTGCTGTTGAAATAGCTATTAGCAGTATGTACTCCAACAAAATTCAGATCTTTGAAGCAGAACTCTACTGGCTTTACATTAAGCATGGGATAATTCTAAGGTGATACTTCTTTTCTTCTAGGCTTTAATAGATGAAGACAGGCTGCTATCAAGACTAGAGGTTATGGGAAATCAATTACAAGCTTGTTCAAAGGTAAGTAGTTCACTTAAAGTCAAATATTAGGAATACTGAAAGCAACTCTTTTCAAGTGTTTCGGAAGTAGCTAGTTGTAGGAAAGCATTTGGAACATAAGCTTTCCAAAATGAACCTATGCAACGTTGATAATATGAGTAGCACAAAAACTGTACATCTGCTCTGTATTTCAAGGCATCTACAAAAGTGGCTGTTGTTTTCATTGCCCATGTAACTCTGATATTCAGAGTTACAAGTATGTGCTGCCTTGGTTGTTGTTTAGGCCACCTATGTCTGCCTTGGATTTTAATTTTATTTCTATTTCCTCTCAACTATTTACATTATAAAACTACTTCTTCAGGTCCTGTTTAAGGTCTTTCCTCTGGGACCTGGTTTGTCCAGTTCTATGTCTCCTAGGCTTGACATTGTCTTAGCAGGCCCAAAAGAAGTGCCATAATTCTCTTGGGATCAAAACTGACCACAGAATGTGTGCTGCTATACATACACTTCAAAAAATAACTTACGTATACCCAGTCATGTCAAGAATCTTCAATCGCTGATTTGTACATAACATTTTCTTATCTATCCAAAATTTGTTAAACATTTTTTAGTAGAACGGGCTTTATCACAATCTAATTTATTTAATAAGCAAAACAGTAATTATTATATTCTTGAATTATTTTGTATGTGCAGAATCAAACAGAAGACAGTATACGAAAAGAGCTTATAGCATTACAGGAAGACAAACACAACTATGAGACAACAGCCAAAGAGTCCCTGAGGCGGGTCCTTCAGGAGAAAATTGAAGTGGTCAGAAAATTATCTGAAGTGGAGGTACTGAAGTTTCATGTCTGGTCTTCTGAAAGTGCTGAAATAGTTGTAACTACTGCTCTTCAGATCCCTGCTTTGTTGCTGTGTTATGTCAGTATCGGTTGTACTCTGACACTTGCAGGTTATTACGTAGTAATGTTTATTTCTCCTATTGGAGGGGACTAGGATTGTCAAACTGTTAATGAGAAGCTATTCTTTCAGCTCTTCCCTTTTCTCCCTGCTTCCAAAATCCATGATGTTGTCTTACAGAAGTTACTGTGTGCGGGACATACACAGGGAAAATGACGTGCATGCATTAAATTAACGCTGTAAGACCTTTTATAAACTGCAGCATTAACCACTTGTATACTTTAAAAGGAGCTTTTACAATGAGCTTTACCGTTCAAGTGTTAGACACTCTTTTGAAGTAAGATTTTCTGCCCTGTAATAACTTGCATTATTCTGTTTTCCTTTATTTTCTTTTCCTTGATCATTATTTCCTATATTCCCTTGGTCAGGAAGTCTTGTAACACTAGTTGTCATCCTGTGCATATATAGTGCCTGGAAAAAATAGATCATCTGCAGTGTTTGGTAGTTTAGTGTCTGGCTTTTGTTATTATTTATTGCACAATAATTCTGTCTTACAGCGGAGTTTAAGTAATACAGAAGATGAATGTACACACCTGAAAGAAATGAATGAGCGGACTCAGGAAGAATTAAGGGAATTAGCTAATAAGTACAATGGAGCTGTAAATGAAATTAAAGATCTTTCTGACAAGCTAAAGGTAATGACAGAATTTCATCTGACATAGCATAGAATAAATGTGATAAATGGAAAAAATAAATACAGTTTAATTTGTAATGCAGCAAACAAAAAAAATAAGAAACTTGTTAAACAACAGTTAACAATAGAAAGATGCATGTCTATATATTCTCTATGTTCAGTTTTAATGTAATTGAAACTGTCATCATTTAAGTAACTTCCTAAAAATGTTCCATCTTCATTCACTTGGAAACAACCATATTTTTGGGACTGAAATATATTCTAGTATAAAATGATGTCTAGTATAAAACTATATCCAGCTGCTTTTATTTGGACTAATAACTTTCAAACTAAACTTCTGAAAGGTAAGAGGAATAAGAGCTAGAATTAGAAATAAATTTGCATTTCATGTAGTCTCTTCATGCAGTTACAGCAAACATAACTAGTCCACCACATTGTAATCATATGGCTGATCTTTCATCTTGATATCAAGTTTGATATTAAATTAAATATCTAAGTATATTAATTAAATAAATTAATATTTAAGGTCCTTTATGCTGGAGAACACAATAATCACTTTATGATAAAGCTTGTTCTCCGAGAGTCTTCAATCTAGTTAAGTAGGAATTGTGAAGGAGGAAGGTAATGGTGTGATCTCTGGAGACCTGAGACAGTTGCTGCATTTATATTGGATAAATACTGAATTGGAACCTAGGTTTCTAGTTCAGTACCTCAGAGAAATTTTTCTTTCCAAATTAAAATGTTAAATTGCTGCTCTTAAGGCAGTTAGTTTTCCAGTAATGGGTTGATCACTGATGATGATGAGTGTACGCAGAAGGATCAAAACTGAAAGCTATTACCTTGTTTTGAGGGAGGAGACAGTTTAAAACTTAAGTTCTTGAGATTTAGTGAGGAAAAAGATGTGGCTTGCAATCAAGGTGGTCTGTGCAGTGTACATTCAGTTCAGACGGGTTCTTGGGTTTTGGTTGAATTGAGATGCTGGAGACTTTGGGCATTTCTTAGTTCTAGGGCCCTTTACTGTTGCTGTTAAATTTATGTTCCTCAGTCAAAAAGTTACTTCAGATATTTTGAGATTTTCTCAGTCTACTTGTAGTGAAATTTGTATATAGGTAATAGATTGGCTTTGTTTTTTGTGTCTTTAATCTGATTAGCAAAGACAGTTACGTACATTTAGTTACATAAAAAACAAGATCTATTCTTCCACATATTAATTTTGATTTTTGGGGGATTTAAAAAATCTGTTTGATCAGGTAGCAGAAGGGAGACAAGAAGAAATCCAGCAAAAAGGACTGGCTGAGAAAAAGGAATTGCAGCATAAAATAGATGAAATGGAAGAAAGAGAGCAAGAGCTTCAAGCAAAAATAGAAGCTTTGCAGGCTGATAATGACTTCACCAATGAGCGGCTGACTGCTTTACAAGGTTAGTCAATAGCGGGGGAAAAAACTTTGATTATTTGGTTTTCTTTTAATCTGTGAAATACCTTTTTCTTGGACTTCTGTTTACAGTACGGTTAGAACACCTTCAAGAGAAAACTCTTAAAGAACACAACAGCTTAGGTAGGTGTGATCCATTTCTTGTTTCAAGCTGGTTTCCGCGTTTGCTCCTCCGTTGCTTTTGTTAGGATAATCTCGGTGTCGGCAGCAGTTCTCATTCCCGGTTTTCCCAGCAGGGAGCTCTCCCGGACTGGCGGGGCCGTGTCGGGGCGGGGCCGGCAGGGGGCGCTGCTCCTGCGGGTGTTGGCCCTGCGCGGGGCTCGGCGGGGCCTGGGAGCAGTGAGATTTAAAACATATTTTATATACATCTATGCACATGTATATGTGCGCAATAGGCAGTCATTCTTTGGCGTTAATAACCTCTTAGACGTTTGAACTAGACATCATCTCTTGTAGGAAGCACATCGAACTGCCTGATTTTTTGTCTGATTAGGTCATTGTGGAGAGGTGGGATGAAAAGCCAGGTGCATTTCAAAATGCTGTGTTTATAAAGAAACAAAGCCCAAAACATTTTCCTTGATTCCAAAAATAATGCCCTTTCTTAATCCTAGGCATACAAGTCGACGACTTCATACCTAAAATTAATGGGAGCACAGAGAAAGGTAGTGTATCTGAGGACTACCTTTTGTCTTATGGTTGATGTTTGAAAATGAGCAAAATCAAAATGTTCTCTAAAGTTTTGTTTGGAATTTTTTCTCTTTGCGAATGAATTTGTCCACTCCTGACCAGGTTTTTTTTTTGTGTGTGTGTATACTTCCAGTCACAGTGTTTTTAGAAAGTTGTGTAAAATACAACAGAACCACTTGGAGGCTGTCTCTTTTTGTTGAGTTGTTTTTTTTTGTTTTGATGGGCTGTCACTGCAATCAGTAGGAGTCTACTGATTGAATGTTGTCAGGGTTGTGACAAAAGAAAGTGGAGAACTCATTGATTGTTTTCCTTTTAGTTTTCCCTTGCAACACATAGACATAGTGTTTTTCTAGTAAAGTTGAGTATGATCAGTAAAGTCAGCAAAACCTATTTTTTTATAACTTTAGTATGAAAAATGTGAGTATATAAAATTTATAAACAGTGGGAACTAACTTTTTAACACTCCAGGAGTATCTTTATGTGAAACAGGAATTAATACAGATTGAACTAAGTGATTAGGTTTTTGAAAGGCCAGTTAGAGCCAAATATTTTAGCTCATGTGTCTTAACATACACAGAGTTTTTTGAGTGAAATTGTCCAATATCACATATGGCAAAAAATATTCCAGTTTTGATTCTAGATTGTTTAATTGGCTGAGATATATTTGCCAATATAAATTTTTTCCTTGATGTAGCTTGTTTCTGCATTCTGCAGGATGGTGGTAGCATTGGTCTGAAGGTTCAGGGACCTATATAGGAAACTCAGGGTTTTAACCAATACTCATAGTGTTTAAGGACTCCTGTATTTATATTTTTGAAACAGAGTTTTAAAGCTCCCTATGCATATTTTTAAATTATGAGGCTCTTAACTAGGGAGACCAATCGCAAAATCAAAAGTTAATCATGACACAACCTTCTTATTGGGAGCAGGAGGAGAGATCTGTTAAACACCTGCAGGAACTGCACCAAAGCCTCCCCTAAAGCTAAGAGTACTGGTTGCTCCTATGTGTCTTGGCATTTTAGGCACTTTGCTGAGGTGCATACTGAGGTTAGCAAGAAGGACATGCAATGTTTATTCCCACTTCTGAACACTGCCATGAGATTTTATTTTATATAGATTCATCCATCTTGCTGATGCATAATTTTAGATTGGTAATAGCTTAATATTTGATAGAATCATTGAGGAATAGATCTGCTTTTCTCTTTTTAAAACTAGAGCTAATTTGACACGTTTTGTAAAAGCTTGTGAGCTCTAACTTCAAACATAAATTATTTTATAGAGGAATGATTTGTGACATGATACTAGATTTGACTTCTTTTAAAGAAACATTTTTTGTTTGTTTTAAAATTGTTGGTAGGAAGATCATGTGAGATTTTTAAATACTGATACCTTTTACAAGTCCAGATTTTAAAATTGCCCATTTAAAAATCATTGTGTGATTATAACAATTATCACTATATCACTGAAACTTGCTTTTTTTTGGTCAAAGGTGAAGAAGCAATCCCTTTTGGACTTATTTTGAGTTGTACAAGAGTCAGTGTCATGTGAATTGATGCATGACAAGATAGGTTCCTCCATCCTATGAGTAACAGTAGAATTTGCACTTAAACCTGAAAGTTTTAGGAACCTGTTTGCCAGGTTATTTTTCTTTGAGTACAGGCTCATTCAAGTTCTCTTTCTGTGTATTTATACAATCTATCACCTTTTTTGTCATGCATATACCATGCTATTCCATTATTCTGTATTTTAGCCTAGCTTTTCATTGTTCTGTCAGTTGTAAATTTTTCTGCATCTCTGCAATAGCTGATCCATCCCCATTTCTCTGGCATTTTACAGCTTGCTGCCCTGTGTTCTCTTCATGACCGTCTGTGCCTTTTTGCATCTTCCAGTCCCTTATGTAGCCCTTGTATGACAGATGGGCAGTTATTTAATCTGTCAGATTTTGGATTTTGTTCTCTTAAAAGCAGCAGGAAGCAGTTACTGCTGGGATTTTTGGGGGGTTGTTTTGGGGTTTTTTTTGTTGTTGTTGTGTTTTTTGGGGTTTTTTTGGGTTTTCTTTGGTTTTTTTTTTGTTTTGTTGTTTTTTTGTTTTGTGGGGGGTTTAGGGTTTTGTTTGGATTGTTTTGGTTTGTTTTTTTATTGTTTTGGGAGATTTTATTTGTTTACTTTTTTGTTTTGGTTTATTTTTATTGGTTTGGAGGGGTTTTTTTTGCTATGTAGTTCTGCATTATTTTAGAAGAGCTAAGAATTTTGGGTTTATAATGCAGATTGAGCAACTTTGGGAATAAAAGAGGAAAACTCTAAAACTCATGTAGAATCAGTATGCTTTTAAAACATCTTTTGTTTTTCTTTCAAAGTGTGTGCACAGGCACACTACCTGGCCATGGCAAGAATCATGGTTTACATTACTTTGTTCTGTGGCTGTAGCAGCCAAGAGCTGTATTTAGAGGAACTAAGAACTCATAACCTCTCCAGAGGCTTTTAATTAAAAAGTGTATTAGAGGATGATGATTAGGCATTCATTTTCTGTCATTGGACATGCAGAAAAGAGGAACTTGTTGGTACAGCAAGCCTCTGATAAAAGTTGTGTAGAACTAAATTCCTTCAAAAAGTGGTATTTTTCTCAGTGTGTTGCACCTCACCTAGCTTTGATCTTTAAATTTTGTGAGCCAAATATTACATGAAGAAAGGTATGAGAAATTTGTATGTAGTCACTTAGAGGACCAGGTAAAACTGAAAAGAAGAAAAAGTAAGTTTAAATATGGAAAATAATTTTTACAGCCATGGTGCTGTTTTTTAAAAGCTCTGTCCTCGTGGATTAAACAAAGCTTATTTTTTAGAGTAACTTCAAAATACAGTAAAGCTTAGTATTGCAGTTGAGCATCGGATGTCAGAGCTAATGATTGAAAAATTTGGTTAGAATGTAGCACATCCTGCAGGTTTGTACTAATGCCAGCCTTTTCTCACTGCTGGACTCTTGGTCTAAAGATTTTTGAGGTTCTTCAGAAAGGAAGTGTTTGCAGCTTGAAGAGATGCAGGATTCTGATGGAATTGGGAGCTGAACAAGGACTTTAGTAAACCTGGGAACAGAGTCCAGTTTTAGGAACTCTGCTGCAGAACTGTCTTTTCAAAGTGAAACTGTTTAAAAAGAATAGGCATATATTCAACAGTTAAAATAGAGCGTGTTAGATATGAAGAATCAACATGAAGATTAATGAAAAACTTTGGAAATTCCCTTTTAAAGCTAATAAAAATGTTGAAGAATATAGGTCAAAACTATGTTTCTTTTGAAAATGCAGCTGAAGTACTTCTTTCTTCTGATCAGTTTAAAAGAGTAATCTATTGCCTAGTATCACTCAGACATAATTTCATGTCTTGTCTGCTTGCATATTAACTCAGATTTGATTCAAAAGTCCGTTGTGAATACACTGAAAAATTTTGTTAATATGCCTCTCAAATTTTTTGTTGCATCAATTTGAAAATGATAAGAAGATGTAAACTGAAGTGTTTCTTTCTCTACTAGAGCACTTTCTTTCAAAGAGTGGAGGGGACTGCACTTTTATTCATCAGTTCATAGAATGTCAGAGTGAGTACAAGAGTGTTCACATTTGCTTTAAAAACAACAGAAAACACAGAAAAGGTGGATGAAACCAGAATTTGTCACTACTATTTAATATTTCTGTAGTAGCAGAAATTTTCTAAGCATTGAATTGTGGCATTGTGGTGCTGAGCAGATGTAATAGGATATCTTTGCTCTTGCAAAGTGATGGTCACATTGTCTCTTCTCAGTTCATCCATTATTGTGCCCTAACCAACAAAAGGTTGGTGATATTTCCACTTGGTGTTTAAAACTGAGTGTAACTTTTCACCTGTTCCAAATGAAGTTGAAACCTGTCAGTTTAAGGAAACATCACAGGCAGCAAAGGACAGAGAATGAGGTGCTTTTTCACATATCTGTAATTTAAATGATACTTAAAGGCTTTACACATTCTCCAGATTAGTTGTAACAAAAGAACAGAAGGGAAAACAAGTCCACAGTTTGTATGTGGAAGTCCAAGAGACTGTTTTAAGAAAAACAGAAAATTGCATACCAGTCTTTAGAAAGATGTGTTATTCTGGAATGTGAAGCGTGTTTTTCAGAGCAAATGCTTTTGAAAATGAGTAATGAAACAGCACTGTCTGTACATCTATAATTAAAGAAAAACTGAAGATGTTTATACTTTTTGCATACTGAAACAAAAATATCATTAGAATGAAGAGAAGCAAAGTGCTATTAAACTTCAAGAAAACCTGGGATTTTTTTACTTCAGAGTTTATAGAAATTATGTATCCAAAATCGAGCAGAGAAGCATTTAGAAGCAGAAATAAGACAGTATCATTTTTGACATTATGGCCATTGGACTCTTTCCTCTCAAATTTTCATGAGGAAGGGTAGCATACTTGTTTGATTTTACTGCTTGTGATCCAGATGCAGTGCCATAAACCAAATGACATGATACTGCTAATTTTTGTATAAGAAAATTTAAACTTTTTTATTTGAAAAATGTTTATTTAAAAAAATTAATGACTGGTAGCTGTCTTCTGTAAGTCTGCAGTTTTAAATCATCCTAAATTTTGCAAAGATCTTGTATGAAATTTTTTTTTCAGTATGTAAAAATGAAATTAAGTGCTTGAGTAAACATATATCTTGTCTACAATATGGAGAACACCCTGTGTGATATTCAGATACTAATTGGTTGCCTGTTTTCATTGTTTGGATGTTAGGTTAACCTAGTTTAGCAAAACTTAGGTTAGTATCACTTCTGCAAACTAAATGTGACCAGTCCTATCACTATTGAGAAAGAAAAGTGATCAACAGTATCTACTGAAATATTCTAAGATGTTAAAATACTAATAAGAGTAAACTTAAGATCAGTGGATTTACGCTTACCCTTTCTCAGGACATGGCAAGCTACAGTGAAAACACTGCAAGGCCTTGACTGCTTCATTTTTAAAGGAATTAATGAGAGTTCAAAAGAGTTAATTCCAAATCATTGATTCTTTTATTTCTTCTTGGACTGAAAGTTTGCCTTTTCCATGTTCAAATATGTTTAGTCAGGCCTCACAATATCATGAGGTTAAAAACTGCAAACTGTAGGATCTGTTCTTTGTCTTTTGTATGTAAATGCTGCCCTTCATTCCTACTCATGTTCTTTGCTCTGTGTAGCATCAGGAGCAGGCGACTCCTGGGGAGAAAAATCACAGTTCCAGAGATTGTCAGGAAGTCAAGTTTTAAGGCACACAGCAAAGAGTGTAGGACAATATCATACAGACTGGCAATACACAGCGACAATATGTAGCTCATCGTGTGGTAGTTTGTTGGGGTTTTGCCCAGAGGTTTAAGTACTGACAGAGAAGCAGGTTTATTACTTAAACAATAATGATAAAATAAAAATCCCAGAAACCAGATGGTTTGTAAAATCCAGCTTCTGTAGATTTTTAAAGACATTGTATAAATTACAGTGCGCTCACAATATCATCCAGTAACGTGTCCCGATCTCTAACGTTTGTGGAAATCTGGCTCTGAATGATCTGGGAAGTGTCTTTCTGATCATTACATCCAGTTCACTTGTTGCTCATTCCATAGTTTTTGTTTTAGTAACCACTGGTCAAAATCAGTGATATCAAGAGCAGAAGTCATGGTGCTTCTTTTTGATCAGAACATGATATGCGTTATTAGCAAAAGTGTGATGGCATATAGATCAAAGTGAGATTTGTTGCCCTGCTAACTTCCTGTCTTTCACTCCAGTGTAAACCCTTCTTTGTGTCCTTTTTTTCCCCCTTACTTTTTGACTTTTGCATTTGATTTTAAATGCAAGTCAGCTTCTTTCTTTTCACCAAGCTGATTTTTGCAAATTTATTAATAGTAGTTTTTGGATGGACTGAATGTGTTGAATTATTTTTAACTTTTCTTTTGACCTGCAGGTGTCTTAAGTGATACTAACAGCTTTAACTTTACTTTTTTTCAGATGGTTGGAAATTTGTGCATTGAGGGACAAATTTTTTATTGGTTTTCAAACCTGGCCTACTTCAAAGACTATTTTGATGCCAAAATATAAATGTAGAGGGGCCATATTACTTAAATGATAATTGTAATATTAAGAGATCTTAGTTATTATGTTGCACATAGTGATAGGCAACCTAAATCTAAAGTGGGCTTCTTAAATTGAAAATCTAGGAAATGCCTAAAAACCTGAAGGAAAGCTGTCTTTAAGCTGCAAAAGAAAATATTATCTTAAAGACTAACTGAAAGCTAGTTGAACAGAAGATTGTGTCAGTAAAAACATTTAGTTATATCTACTTCTCTGCTTTCTGCTAAGTAGGGACTGGAGAGCATGAAAGCTAAAGTTCTTTTGTGTTAGAAATTAAAACTAGGATTCTCACCCTAATTTACATTTAGTACCCAAGTTTTCTGAAATAATAAAATTTTTAAATGCAGAGTTTTGAAATAGATGTTTCAAAGATGTCTATCTTTTTTTTTCCCTCATTGTTGTCTGGATTCTGCCACTTTGAGTGACTAGGCTGGTAACAGTGAAAAATAATGTTCTATGGAGTTTGGTGATACCAGCATCCAATTTTCTGTATATTATCTAAATATCAGTGTGCTGAATTAATTATTTTTTTGTTGGCTTATGCCATATATTAGTGGTAGCATTCTTGAAACGCAGGGAATGTTCACTTGTTCTGAAAGTTAGGAGAGATTTGAGTCACCAAGTGCAAAACACTGGCTGTGCCAGCTTTGGGGCAGGCTTGGCAGAGACTCGTGTGCTGCTGCTCAAGGTCTTGGCTGAAGCAGTGCCAAGGATGTACCCTTTGTACAAATGGTGAAATCAGTAATGGACACTAGAAAACAATAAGCCACCATGGAAATGAAAAAAAGCCAAAAAACCCTCCTGCCTGCAGTTTCTCTTAGTCATGGAAATGGAGTGTAAAGAACTGCTGCACAAGTTTGTTTGGAAAACATCTGTGTCAAGGGTAGATTCTGTTTTGTATTGCAGTTATTTGGAGTGTAACAGTTACTGGATTGTGGTAGCTAAAAGATGCACAAATTCATAATGCTAAATTTTCCTCTGTAAGCTGATTATAGAAGCCTATTTTAAGCTAGAGGTCTAGCATGGTTGAGGTGTTATCCCTTCAGATCAAGCTACTTGTTTTTGTGCTCAGCTGTTTCATTCAGATCTACAGGGAGAATTCCCTAGCTTTTTTTCTTGCTGCTTTCCCTTCCACCCCTATTCTATCTGCAGCTGAGTCCTGGAATAATCATATATGAAGACTTTGGTTTAGATTTATTTTATTTTAAAATGGAAGAGGACTCGTGGTATCACTCGAACTCCTGATTTGTGACTGCCAGTAACTTGATTCCCTCCACAGTGCTTTCCTTAGTCTAAGCAGTCATTCTCACCAGCTCTGAGGAACTTGAGGCTGTTCTGAACTTGGATCATGACTGATCTCCTACAGTTGCTTGAGACCTAAAGCCAGTTCTGAAAATCCAGCGTGCTGTTCCATGTGTTTCTGAAGCAGCGTTTGTAAAATGTTACAGTTAAAGCAGAATAATATTTGTAGATAAAAGTAGGTGGAGGGAACATCTCTCTTCCATTGGCTTATCTGTCTGTGTGGGAGAGGGCAGAGTACAGGACAACCTTTTGGCCATGAAAACCCTTCTTCAGACTTCAGGGCTTTTTGTCTGAAAACTTGTCTATCATCTAGGTTTGTAAAAGATCTCTCCTTCCAGATCTTGACCTGCATCTGTCCTTAGATTGTCATAGTTGCAGCAACATACCATCAGAGGACTAGAGGGACAAGTTAATCTTCAGAGATACTTGAAGCTGAAAATGCTAAAAGTCAACTTTTTTGGGTTTTGGTTTTTGTTTCTAATTTGAAGAGAATTTACTATCAGCCAGCTTCTTTAGTCTGAACTCTCCTGTTTGTGCTGTTCATTCAGTCTTCTCTGTGTCTCAGTTTCCAGTTGACAGCATATGGAGTATCCAGGAAACTGCATTCCCTGCCTAGTTATCAGGGATCTGACAGGGAGACTATAGAGGGGAGGCAGAGGCGGCTTCTCAAGCCTGATATTTCAGGGACTAACAGCTTTCAGCATAGACTAGACTGTAAAATCTGCTGCACAGAAATCAAAGATATGATCTGTAAGATGGGATCCTCGATACTTTTGTGTTGGCATTGCTTCTTAAGGAATTAGAAATAATGAAATCTCATCTTGAAAAATAAATTAATTGTTCAATAATTTTTTTTAGTGTCTTTGATTAATTCCAGTCCTGTTCTTCCCTTGGTGCTCTTGTTTGCCTTCATGTCCTAGCAGGAGTTAGGATGAAGTTAGCAATCTAGACTCCAATTCCACTTCTAAGATTTTTGTGCATCTCAAATACATGAGTAGACTTCCCTGAAGTAGACTTTGGATAAAAACTGCATTTTTTATGAACCTGAATGTAATGCATTCCTAGTTTTCTGGAAGTCTGTGCAGCTCTCTTGAAAGGTTTAACAAAGAAAGGCTGTTTCTGTGTACAATTCACAGGCGCTGTTAAAAGTGATTGTGGGGTCAAGGGGACTTCTCTATTTTATGTGCTGCATTTCTAGATTTCTGCTGTGTTGGATGGATGTCTGTTCCATGAAACCAGCTCTTCGGATTCCTTTTTTGATAACTAAACTTGAGAAATGTGTTGATTATTTGTTGCTTCTGATTCAATTTTTTATTTTTTAAAGTACATAAAATTAATTTTTCTAAATTCTCATTAGTGAACTGCAGCATTATGTAAGTTAATAAGGAGGAATAATTACGCACTGTATCCTAAAGTTCTGGTAGGCTTGTGTGCTCTGTTTCATTATTCTGTGCCAGAATAAAGTTTTTGTTCAAGGCTGAGTAGGAAGTAATATTATCAGCTTTTAATTTGGTCATGGAATGTACTCTACGTAGATGCATGCAGGGAAAATTTGAGCTTGGAAAGTAACACTTATTTTGTTTGGCAGACAAGATCATAGATGAAGGACATCTAACCAAAGTGGAAGAAACAAAGCTTTTGAAAGGTTAGACTTCTGGATTATTTAACTGTTTTTGAAGCATGCTTGTTGTGTCACTCACTGCATGTTTTGTGTTAAGTCAGAGTTGGAGTTTTGATTGAATATGCATTTGAGGAGAAATTCAATAAAGGGGAGGGAAATTGTTTGCTGAACTCTACTCCAAATACTATTGTAGGCTAAAAAGATTTAATGGAAACCATTTTTGACTATTGAGTGCATTAAGTGCCAATCTCAATATTGATTGAATTCTTACTTGAATATGCATTTTAAAAAAAAGTAATTTTTGTAAATTCAATTCAAGCTTTAGTGTCTGCATGAATTCCAAATGGGATTTTGGTTTTAATATAGGGCTACATAGAAATAATGTTTGGAGTCATTTTAAGTTTTAAATGAAAGTGTATTTTAATTTTACTATTTTCTGTCTTATCTCATAACTTTAAAATAAGTATTAACCTCCTAAATGTGTCTTTTGCACGTAAAATATATCTGTGCCTCTCTAACTCTTTTCTCTAATGTATAAAGCAAGTTAAATTAAAGGAGCTAATTAGAAAAGACTTGTCAAGGAACAGTCATCCTTACCTTACAATGCCAAGGTCAGGATTGCTAGCAAGTGTGCAGGTCAATATTTCTCAAGTGTCTAATAATGTAAAATTGTTTGGACTTGCAGGCTCTCCTCTCTTGCAACTTTTTATTGATGTCTGGACACACTGCCTCAGTTCTTTACCCTCTGAGCTTCTGCAAAGTGTTGTTTTGTTGAATAAATATTAGTTTGTTAAAAGTCCAGTGTTTTAGAGACAATTTATTTTCTCTTCCTTTAATGCACGGAATGGCACCTTTAACTCCTTTCTGTATGTGAGGAAGCTATAGACAAGGTGCCATATTTGGCAAAAGAATGCATACAATAACTGTAACGTAACACTTGCATGCCCCTTCCATTGCAAAGCTCTAAGCTATTTTTAGTGTTTGGTAATATATTCTAACTCATCAAGTATGATGTCAACACATTTCAATATACTTTATCACTTTGGCTATATTTATTCAGCTCAGTTTTATTATGGGAAATAGGAACAACTGCTGTGATATAATATGGTACAGGAAAGAGTTTTGTGCTTACGACTCTGGTTCCAGAATAGGAAGCAGGTTTCTAATAATTTGTCTTCTGCTGTTTCACATGTAGAACTGGTGCATCTTTCCTCTGGTGCCTCATCTTTTGTGCCTTGTTTCAGAGCGGGGAGGGCAGGAGGGGGGAAAAAGCTGGTGTACCAAGGGTGGGTGGGAGGGAAGTATATAACGGGATGCTGTGGGAGAGAGAATTAATTCAGTGGTTGGAACTTGCACTGTTCCTCCCATTTTGCACAGAGCAGGGAAGCAGTATTCCATGGATGCCCAGATATGGTAAAGTTAGTTGGATATGGATCTTGCTCAGCTTAGTGCTTCTGGATCGGCCACTAATAAAAGTGATATGGGTGAGGCTTTTAGGTTATATTTTTCTTAATAGATAAAAAAAAAAGCATGACTTAGTTTAGTAATTATTACAGTTGTAGTGAGAATCCTATGAGCTTGGGTCTATATGAGAATGTAAAATGTTTTGATTTGTAACACCCTTAGATATTAGTTAAAAACCTTATTCCTGAAAATAAGAACGATCCCTTTTTGTTTTAGCCAAGAACCACCCACCCCCAAAGATTAAGTTTTTAACTGCAGCAATCATTATGAATATTGAAGTCTGCTAAAATGGGGGTTGTGTTTGTAGTACCTGCCAGGTCTGAACCTCTAGTGTGCTTTAACTGTACAGATGCTTTTCCCTGTCCTCTTCTCCAGCGATTTCGATTCTATTAGGATGGGAAGAGTCTTGCTCTTCATCAGCTGCTTTGTTTGTACTTGCTGCCTTCTGTTTCATGTTTTATAAGTGTATGTTAATCAGGCAGAGAGTTATAGAAAACTTTTTGATTTAGATTAAGATAACTTTTGAGTTTTCTTCTGTTAACCTGTCTGTGTTCTGTCATGGTGATTTCCTCTTGCAGTCACACAGATTGTCTCCAGTTTATGCTTATTTTGTTCTGGGGGAAGTTCTGTGTATTATCTTGCTATTTGAAAAGATGTCTTATTATTCCCTTGGTTTTTACTTATTTTTACACTAACTCTGTTGTATAACATGGTTTATTTATTTATTTATGTGATTATTTCTTCCTGTGTCCTGTTACTTCATTGTTGCATGCACATTATGTACATGCGGTGAAATTATTTGTGTACCCTGTGCTTTTCTCCATGGATGGGAGATGTCTGTGTGCTGGGAATGCTGCATTGACCCTTTTTCATATAATGTCTCTGCCTGGAACTTGAGACTCAGAGAAAACCTCTGTTAACCTGCAGGTGGGCAGCAGAGCTGTCAAAGCAAGGCTCTGAATAGGCAGCCAAGAAAGATTTCATTTTGTATAACCCCACCTGCATGTTGGTGACAGTTCCTTGCTGGATTAGCCCACACCATCGATAGTGTGGTCTTTTTTAATGGACCCATCAGAACTAAACCGTAATTGTTACTTAAGAAAAGTTGAAAAAAATTTATTTCAGTCACGTATACTATTTATACTTTGAATCAGGGGTGATTCTGCGTGAAACTAAGATGCACTGGTGCAATTAAATCCCCTTATCTTTTGAAAATATGTGATCTCCACTAAAAATCTAGAACTGGGGGAAAAAACCCCAACAAAAAATCCAGCAAACCAAAAAAAAACCCAAAAAACCAACTTGCTTCACTAAGCTGCATGTAATAAAGTGCTGAATTACATGGACAGATATTTCATGAAGGTAATTTTTTTGTGAGAACAACATACCCTGCGTCTTTAATACAATTTAAACTGAAAATTCATTCTAGAAACAAATGTATTCGTTTATATTGCTGTGCTTCTTTATGTTTCTTTTGAACAGTATGGTATGTACAAGACTTGTTATTATGTAATTTGTCCAAAATACTGAAACACAGTTTTATTCTTAACAGCAGTTTCTTTCTAACTTGCCACAGTATCTCCATTGTTCTAGTTTTCTTTTCTTATTTGTTTGCTGATTGAATCAGCTTTTCCACTGTTCCAGCTGGCAAGAACACAGCATTAACCTAAGTTCAAGCTGTGCACGAGGCAATTGCATCCCTTATTAGAGGCTAGGCTGGGTTAATGATTCCAGGGATGCGGAATCCATTTTAGCCCAGACTTGCAAAGAAATAAGCACCCAGCAGGTTTTTAACTGTTTCTTGAACCAAGTTGTTTTCTATTGATATTTAGCAGTAGTTTGGTGTACAGAAAAAATTATGAACAAAGCATTTATTGATTGTAGTTGCTTTTCCTTGTCTCTTGCAGAAAACCAAGCACGAGTCAAAGAATCGAATGATTTATCTGACACCCTTAGCCCAAGCAAGGAAAAAAGCAGTGACGACACTACAGGTAAGAGTTTAATTAAGATTTCTGTAACCTCTAATTAGTTTGAATTCAATCTAGATAACCAATAGCATTTTCTTAAAAGAATGCAGTATATTATACAGAGTTAGAGACAAGCTTCGAGCAGTGTTGTCTATTTTGTGGCTTCATAATTTGACTCTTGTAAATTGAGAAGGACATTAAATCTTCTCTCCGTGTAAAGAATGTGTATATGAGAACTGTCTGCAGTCTGCCTGCTCTCTGAAAGGTGTGGGGTTTTTTTTTTAGATGCTCAAATGGATGACCAAGATCTAAATGAACCTATTGTCAAAGTAGCTCTTCTAAAAGGTAAACAAATTTACTTTTGCAATTTTAGATGCATAATCTGTATATGTAATATTTTTATCTACCTGGTTTTTATCAAATGATTAAAAAATAGCTAAAATAGAATGCTGTAATTCAAAGATGTTAATCATGTTATATGGAAGAGTTAACTGTAAATATCAGTAATGACTTCTTTGAGTGATATAAAAGCACGCTTTTGAGTGTTGCTATAGAAATGACCTGCGTATAAAGGTAATCTCTGTACTCACCAATGCTGTTCTAGGAATTTACACCGTACAACTTTCACTTCAGAAGCAGAATCAGCACACATTTAAGATTATAGCAGTGGAGAGGAGGGATTCTTTCGCTACTGACATTTTTCAAGCATTGTCAAATTTTACTTGCATATCTTCTCTTACTGTCAGAAATGTTTGTTAGTTTGCACCCGATGGGTTAATCAAAACAAGACTTTTTTTCTTTAACACAGTCAAGATTGGAAATTTGCATTATAACTGTATTTAGAATGATTGCTGAGGCTTAGTTTGAGCTTCGTTGCTATAAATATAAAATTTTTATTGGTTTTTATGCATTGAAGGCATATACTTAATTATCAAGCTAATATTTACATATTCATTAGCTGAAGAATTTTGTGGCATATTTATTAGTTATTACATTTAGCCTACTGAAAATTTGGTTTCTTTAACAGTTAGACACTTGATAAGATCTATAAAATTATGCTCCTATTGGAATCACAAGTAAAAGAATGTCACAGTTCTTTGTGACTCAGGAAAAAAGGAAACCATAACGGAACGTAGGAGACCTGTAAAAGAGCTTTTCTCTGCAATTGTTTGCACTCCCTAATTTTATGACAAAAAGGCTTCCAAAAATTGCACAAATTACTTTTGCTGTTTGGCAACATGTATAAAATTGAGTTTGATGTTTCCCAGTGGACAATAGTTCAGCAAAGCAGTTTAGAAGGGAGTGTTTGAGATACCTAGAAAGGAGTGTTTGCTCTAATATCTGCAACTAAAAATCAGTATGTTCAGTGACTTGCTATGCTAGAAGGTAGAATTTGATAATGTTGTTGTTAGTGATTATAATAGTCTTATTTTTGGTTATAAAACTAAGGTTGGCAGCAATTTTTCTCTTCCTCTTGAGGCTATTTATGGGCCTTCCTATTTTGCTCTCACGAAACCATTTAAAATATCTGTGCAATGAATCATTTGCCCTTTTAATTTTTATGAAGAGCCTATAAACCCACAGTTTTGTTCGAGTTTTTTTTTCAGAGACCGACTTCATGTGCCTGACTTTGCCCTAAAAAGGATCTGATTTGCCTCAGAAAGGTTTTCAAGTGGACTTGTTATGCAGCCATATAATTAAGGAAGAGTGAGAGCATTTTTGATCTGGCGGCTCTTTGGAATGCAGAAACGGCCGCTGGAAAAGGCAGCAGTCTTGTTGAAATTTACAAAACAAATTAATGGAACAGGAAAATTAGGAGACTTCTGGTTGCTGTAGATTCCTCCAAGCATATTCCATCAACATTTTTTAGTGCATTCAGGATTTGATTTAAGTTTCTACAAGTCAGAATTTGGCAAGGAAGAGAAGGGGGGAAGTTGTGACAAATTAGTTGGCTTTGTTTTTTCCCCCACAAGGTAAATGACTTTATTATCCATTCATAACAGTTCCCTGCACACTTCTGTTTAAACAGCCTGTTTGTGACTACTTATTGCGAAGTTAAGGGCAGATAAATGTTAAACAGATGGAAAGGAGCAATAAATGTCATTGGAAGACTGGTAATCTTGTTCTTACCAATGTTCCTGTGTTTTCACAGTAATTACCAGAGTGGTCCATGGAATATTAGTAGGAAATGTTTTCAGCTGAGGATTTGCTGAATAGTGGTAATTTACATAAGAAATTTTGAAAATCAGCAGTGGTCTATCAGCTTGGAAAGTTTGGGAACCATTGTTTTATGTCAGATACTTTATTTTAAATATATGATATAGTTTCCTTCATATGGATCTTGTGAAGTTAAAAAAAAATCTCGGGGTTTTCTGACTTCACTAGAGTACTCTGAAAATTGTCTTCTGAATAACCTGAGAAATCCTGCAAAATTCTGAAGATGAACTTTCAGAAGTGAGGCTTGAAATACCAGACTGCTCATAAAGTTTCTTCCATAGGCCAGGCACATAGAGATTAAAGATCAGTTAAGACTACAGCCTATGTGGGCTTCTGTATTATCTCTGTTATATTAAAAAAAAAAAAAATTAAAATGGTTTAAAAAAAAGTTTTAAACTATTTTAAAATTACCATTAGAGCCAATGTTGAGGGAAGCCTCACTCTATTTGTGTGGAAAACAAGGTGATATTAATTGAGAACATTTCTTAAAGTATGGCAAACAAACTGATCAGAGATTAAAATTTTCCATGAGGTGGAAAAAATGAATGAGGAAGAAAAAATGCTGTATTAGACCATTTCTTTTTAATTTAATTTTTTCTGGCACCTTGATGTTATTAATGGTAACTCCTTAGCCTTCTCTGAGGACAGTTAGTCATTATGTGAATTTGCTTCTTAAGGGAACTGATTCTAAGCATGATGATATTTAGTAATTTTATTATTTGCAAATAAGGCAATCCTACTCACTGAAGAAGTACTTTTCAAAACTAGAATTAGCACCAAAACTATATTTGCTTTGAACTACAAGGCACTTGTAGTTCAGTTTGGGTAAGACTAAAAGCAAATATTTTCTTGTGCTTCTATTCCTTGGCTTTCGATTTAGAAGCATGTCAAGCACATGGAAATTCCCCTTTTGTGTTGATGTAGGAAAGAGTTTATCTCTCATGTCTTTTGAAGCAGTACTGTCTTTTATGATGTGTGCTTTCATTGACTAAAAAACACTGCCACCATAAAAGTTCATTTGGGGTGTCTGTTGTTGGATTTGGGACACTGCTTCTTTATCAGGAGTGATTTGAGCATAATTTGTCAACTTCCTCATCCATTTCTTCTGAAAAGTCTCATTAAAGAGGGTTGAAAGTCTAATTGCTCTAAATCTTTATCCATGAGAAGCTAAGAACAAAACATGTTCAGTAAAGAGAAACTTGGATTTAGAGCTAAGAAACCATAAAACAAGGTATTTGGATGAAATATGTAGTCCTCTCTGTTCTTTCTGCTCTCATAATTTCATTCTGAAAAAAGTCTAAAAGTACATGTGTATTCTCAGCTCTGCTCAAACCCACCAGTTCATTACTGTGAGAGCAGGAAAAACAAACTCTTAGAGAGATGCAGTATGAAGACTTTAGCATGATTTGCTGAACAATTTTCTTAATAAAGAGAACAAGGAAAAAAATGTATAATTACTTTTATTGATACATATACAGCCAAATATGAATGTCAAAAGTATAATGATGAGCTAAATTCTAGTTTATTTTTATTTTTTTCCTTATTAATGCGAAGTCCAGACAAATGAAAGTAATATTTTTTCTAAGCCTTTACCTTAAATCCACGTAGTCTATAGTTACAGATGTTTATTGACCAGGTAACTGTGTAACCCTTTTTTTTCTACCCTCTCCCATCATACACAGCTGGAATTCTTTCACCAATTTCTTTCCTTTGCCTTTTTCACCAAACAAGCTTTATATCAAATTTTGGCCTTCTACCTATAGAGTTTATTAGTGCTGTTTGTGCCTACTGAAGGATCAGTTTGTGCACAGACACTGCTTAAGGAAAATCTAGTAAATGAGAGTTTGCTGGATGCTGTTCCTGGCTTTGCAGATGCCTGCAGGCTGGGGTGTTCCTGCATCTAAATTCTAGATGTGTGACCATTAGAGGACACTGCTCTTAGTAACATTTAGTTTTCCTCTTTTAAATTCCTCCAAAACTTCAGCTGTAAAAGTATTTAATTTGCCTGTGACTGCAAGTCATCTCTTGTAAGCCTGAGAGGCATTTAATATGCGTTTTAGCTAACACAAAACTTATGGGGAAGAGCAAATGTTTTTATTTAGATTTTAAATAATGTGCATACATTTATGATCGTATTAAAGATATACCTACTATTTTAAGAGATAGTTTTAAAAAATCAAGTGCAATATTTATCTTAGTATTCACTAAGGCCACTGAATGAAGTAAGGAGGTTGGAATTGTCTTCTTTGTCTTAATTTTGTTTTAGGAAATTTCCCTAAATTTTTCCTTTTCCTTTTCCCAGCGGGAGAGGGGGAGGCTGAGGCTGGCGATGCAGTGGGTGGGTGGCAGTAGTGAATCATGGAATAGCAGCTCTTTCCTGAGCCTGTGCACTGAGACAGGCTTAGGGCAGCTTCCTTTTAAAAGAGTCAAGTTGTAAACACAGGCAGGGATTGTCTTAGGCTTTTGTTGTTCCTTGTTTTTGTCAATACAGAAGTCCTTACCAACTTACACAGTATTTTTTAAAACTCTCTAATTCTTCCTTGTTAATTTTTGTTTTATATTGCATGTTATGTGTAAATGAATGATTTATGGTTTGCATATGTTTTACTACTTTAAAAAGTATATTAATATTTTTTCCTAATATTTGCCTAATCTAATTTTGAGTTTACTTTAACTTCTGAAGATTTGAGTAAAAAGTTGCCAATCATCACACAGCAGTGCAAATTAAGATGTTGTACAAATTTATGATTCAAAGAAAATGTTCTTTCATCAGATGAATTGCAGGGTGCACAATCAGAGACTGAGGCTAAGCAAGAAATTCAGCAACTGCACAAGGAGCTGATTGAAGCCCAAGAGCTAGCTAGGACAAGTAAACAAAAATGCTTTGAACTTCAAGGTGAGACCCAGATCAACTTTGTTCTGTAGGGTATTCATTAAAATTGTATATATCAGGTAGTTCAAGATATGTTTTCATAGTATTGAATACATGCTTGAACTCAGGATATTTCATCCTTATTTCAGTTAGATAATGGATGTAATTGAATGTCTTCAGTGGTGGCTCTTTCTTAGATCATCCTATCAGCTATATAGCTCTATTGTTTTTAGGAGGAAATAGTATAGTCCAGTTTAATTTGCATATTGTTCAGTGTTCATTAGGGGTTGTATTTACAGCCTTTTTTTTTTTCACTTCCTCTTACACCAGTTTGCATTTAGCACACACAGAGTTTTCAGATCAGGCAACAGATTATATCAATTTCAAATTAATTGTAATACTACTACAATAATGGAATGATGTCTTAGTATTAACTTTTATTAAACTACTTACACGGTTTTACTACCTTTGATAACTTCCTGAAGTAATATGTTTGTTTAATCTTTTCACTTACTGAGAGGTTGTGACTAAAATTAATTACACAGGTGAAATTCATGTTGCTAACAAAAACTCTTGGGCACATTTTCACTTTTATTTGTAGCGCTCTTGGAAGAAGAGAGAAAAGCATATAGAGTGCAAGTTGAAGAATCCAACAAGCAAATAAATGCTCTGCAAGGTAGGGATTTTTTTACCCCACTCTTTAGGGAAACTATATAGTTTTGACTGTTTCTGTGCTATCATAGTCACTAAGAAAGGAAAATGTTTAGTTGAATATATGTTTTAAATCTGATTTCCTTCACCATATCTTTGATTGTTGTTGTGGAATGTTTCCTTTAAATTATTATGGTTTTAATAGTAACTTAAAAAATGCAAAAGATGTAATCTGTAATAGATACCTCTTCTTCATCTCCATTTAGTCTTTGTCAGTTCTGAATCATCCAGGGATTCTTACTGTGACTGCCTTCAGAGCACTCAGAAGCTTTAGGTGTTTTTGTAGTACTCAGTCTCTCCATTTCCTTATAGGATCCTCTTAAAGAAATTTTTCATACAGATCCACATCCAGCATCAGAGTATGCAGTAAAGTTGCTGCAACTGAGCTTTTTGCAAGCTGTCCATGCCTTTTTCCTGTCCATGCCTTTTTGAAAATTGATGTAATCAATCATGCTTCTTTCAGCCCAAAATGCATACAGCAGGATGCAATCCCATTATTTACATAACTTCTGAGTCACATCTTCTGTATCACATTAATTTGCATATGAGTGAGCTCATTGATCAAGAGTCTGTCAGTCTGTCCAGCCTTAAGGTCAAAAAAGGCCATGTTATATTGTGATTTCCTTAGAGTAAGAGCTACTTTGAAGAGCTAATCAGCCATTGGTTATTACAGAACTCAGGAGCTTCATCCTTGGGGTCTTTGTCAGCATATCACTTGCTTTGGACCCAAAAATGTCTGGAAGGAAGATGAGCAGACAGGCAGGTGGACTGACAGTGCTGACTTTTTTAGGCAGTGAAAATAGCCCTAGAAAATTATTTTCTGGGCAGTAGTTTGTTGGATTATGTGATATTTGTCATACACTAGTTATACTGAAAATCTTATATAATAGCTCTGTTTTAGGTGACTTCAAAGAATCTTTAAGTTTTCTGTCATTGCTTTTGTACAAAAGAGAAGCTTAAAGTATGCTGTTCTTCAGAACAAGAGCAGCAATTTGAGTGTTATCTTGCTAATAATGAGAATTCTCCAAGTAGTGAATGCTGTAAGAAAAATTAGAAAATATTTGATAGTTATTTCTGTGCACAAAAAAAAAGAAATATTATTTTTCCTCCTAAAAAGAGAGAATGAAAGTAGAAACTTGACAGAGCCAAACTTAATTGCCAGATTCCTCTTCTCAATTCAGTACTTTTTTGTTTTCTGGATCCTTCTCAAGAGAGGTCTTGCTAATGTTTCCTCCTCTCTCTGTTGTAGTTCAAAATGTTCTAATGTTCACTGTGTGCATTGCTGATTCCCAAACTTTTAGGGTGTGACACAACTCACAGTTTGGGAAAAGCTGTCAGGATTCTCCCTTGGCAGCCCCTGCGAACTGCAGGGGAGGAAAAAAAAAAGCCTGGCAGCTTTATGAAGTAGCGTTTCTAGAAGCATTTTCAGGGAATCAATGTTTTAGCCCAGCCAGTGTTGTTGGCTTTGTTTGTATAGAGGAGAGTAAGTGCCAGAGAAGCAGCTGAGGTCGTGTCTCTACGTGTCAGGTTCATTAGATGAACACATATGTAGAGCAAGGAAATTCAAGTAACTTGTTGCTCCTTATTTTAAAAAAGTGAGAAGCAAAGCATTCAGTTCAGATGAGGTAATGGCTTACATAAACGAGAGATGTAATGGAAGTTTTCTTTCTAATTGTCCTCTGAAATTATATCCAGTGCTTCAGAAACCATTCCCATATTTGTTAGTAGTAACTTTCCTGTGTAAGTTATTTCTACAACTCCACCTAACTTAGAACTCATGTGTGTCTTTGGATTTTCAGCCCAAGGCTCTGCTTGTTTTCAGGCCTGAACATATAAAGGGGAAATTGTTCATCAACAGCATAAAAAACAGGATGAAAAACCACATTTCTTTGAAATTCTGCCAGCACCAAGAAGTAGCAGTTTAGCTTGGCTTGATGAAGAAAATAGTATCAGGAAGATATGGTTTGCATTCCTTTGCTCAGGCACCTGCTGTATTACCAAGCTGTAGTTCTTTGTGTTTTAGTGCATATTATTTTGGTAGGTTCAAGGCTTCTAAAGTAAGGATACATGGAAAGGGAATTGTTGATGCATCATGTGTTTTTGTACTGTCAGGTTGTTCTCACCCACTGCTTCATTTGCTTTCTGTTAGTATAAGCCTGTAGAAATTATTTTCAATCGAGGTCATAGTAAGCCTCATTTTGCTCATATTTCTTTCAAAATCCATCATTCTGCAAATGTTTTTGGTATGGAACAGATAGAATGTTTCATCTTACACAGAATTTCCATGAAATTAATTTACTGTTGTCTATAATAGCTCTTGGGTATTACAGTATATAATAACTACCATAGTTTTTCCCATTAAGTCTTTTTCCTTCAAAGTGGGGAACTGGGTCATTCATAGATTCTTTAGTGTATTTAATGAGATAAATGTCTTGCTGGAGCCTGTTTAGAGGAGGGCACAAAAAAGGTGAATTTTTCTTCTTCATTGCACATCAACTATGTTACATCAGCAAAGTTTCTAGATTGTACCAGTGTATGAATTATTTCTGTATTGCTGCATATGTAGCTACTGAAAAACATCAAGTATAATTGACATGGAGGTGCAAGTATCATTTGAGTAGCTCTGATGCTCTCTATCTGTTTACAGCAAGACTCACATTCTTCCTGTCATGTTCTGTAATGGATTGAGATGACATAAATAAATACAAGTAACCTAGGAAGATTACTCAGCCTTGGTTATCCTCCCCATGCTTTTCACTGTCCTTGTTCTGCCCTTTGGTTCTGAAACATACAACTTTAAATCTGTAATTTTGACCCTCTACAGTATCTTACATTAGTTTTTCAAGTGCTCTTAAGAATTCTACCCTTTGTTCTCAGAGTAATTTTTCATTAATTCAATAATTGCTTTTCTCTATATTGAAATCAGCGAAATACATTTTTTTAAGTGAAATAGAACAACAGCAAATTAAGCACTTCGCTCCCATCAGTGTTATAACTGTAGCTCTGTTTTTCTTTCATACTTCCCTTTCCTCTGCTCTGTACTTCTTTTTTAACTGTTTGCACTAGATTCTATTTATGTATGTTTTTATGAAAAACTGTGCTCAGAGATGTCTTCAGTAAGGAAAGAGTTTTAGATGGAATTAATTTGTAAGATTTGCTTCGTGCGGAAATGTCAAGTAGCCTCATATGTGTGTGACTGCTGCACGTTTACAGTAAGCTGTAAATGATAAAGGACCTTCTTCTAGCTTAGTATACATGGTGCAGCTGTCCCTTTCAATTTAAAATTCATCTTGTGCTTTTAAAAATGCCTTTTGCAAAGAAATAATGTGTATTTCCTCTACTGCATGTTGAGAACAGAGTAGAAATTATTCTCTCTCAAATATTTATAGATATCACAAGTTAACTGCTGAACAGGCAAACATTTCCAATGTAGCTTTGCAAATGTTTGGCTTGTGACAAAAGCTTTCTTGCTTTTCCGCTTGTCCCTGAAAGCCCAGTGTCCTTGTCCTCTAATACTTCTTTTGCTTACAGTGATGTTGGATCTAAGTCTTGTTTTCAGATTTTGGAAAGTTGCTGTGGTATCACACACACAGCACAGCCTTGTCTAAGAAAGCTTTGTCCAGACATAATTTTTGTTTCTTTTAACTCTCTGTATTACATGACCCACATACTTGCCTCTTTAAGGGTACAGCATTTGACAGGATAAATGTTTTTTTAATTGCATTAGGCTTATTTAGTCCTGTTAAATATCAGTGTGTTGAGAAAGGGAGGTAAGGTTTTTAGTTTTTTTGTAAATACAGTTTGAAAACAATATTAACATGAATGTCTGCTTTCCAGCTCAGTTGCGAAGGTTGCAAGAAGAAATTGAGAATCTTCGCAAGGAAAAGGAGAATGAAATTTCCACCACTCGAAATGAACTTGTCAGTGCTCAAAATGAGATTCTGTCACTTCAGAAAGTAGCAGAAAAAGCAGCCTCAGAACGAGACACAGACATTTCTACCTTGCAAGCTGAGCTGCAGACGGTGCGAGCGGAGCTTGAACGGTGGAGGAGAGATGCCTCAGATTATGAAAAAGAAATTGTCAATCTGCAATCCAGTTTTCAGCTCAAATGCCAGCAGTGTGAGGAGCAGCAGAGGGAAGAGGCCTCTCGCCTGAAAGGTACCTGCTTGAAAGGATGTCACAGAGCATGCTGCTCACTGTGGTGAACGCCAGTTACTGAAATCACTGTTTGTCTGTCCCTTTGTGTGTGTATACACACACATGTATGTATGTATGAGTGTGTACTGAGGCTTGTGGTGTTAGCAAAGACATTTTCCATGCTTCATTGAACAGTTATTGTCAATTATGCCTAAATTAACTTAGGTACTCTTTGATATCAGTAGACCAAGTGTAATTCCACTTAGAAAAGATGGAAAACTTTTACAGTTTAAAGGATTCATATTGCCAAAAATTTTCCAAGAGTACTTCTGTGACTTCTCTATAGTTTGAGCCCATTAAGGGGGAGCTCCTGACTTTAATTCTATCAAAGTGTCACTAAAGCTTATTGCTTTAAATGTTCTTTTCCTTGTAACAGAAGGATGGTATTAGTGATTCTCTTGCTGTTTGCAAGCCTTGGAAATTTTCTTCAAATATGCTTTTCTACTGCTCTTTCTAAAATACTACAGTTGACACATAAAAAGACTGTTTTCTACTTCTTTGTACCTTAGAAAAAGCTTTAATGAAAAAGGTAACTTGTCTGGCACTGGGTCATAAACCTCATAACAGGAGAAGGTAATGTCATGTTTTACAGGTGGTCATGAGAGAATTCATGTGACATGATTACAAACAAGAATATTTGAGATTTATGGCTGATACCAACTTTTTATCCATTTATTAGCTGGTGTTACTTGAAGCAGTCATGAAATAATTTTACTTAATTGAATTAACTTATTTATTGCAGATGAACTTGAAAAGTTGAAGGCGGAGTGGATCACTCTGGAAGCTGAATGTGTTAAACTGAGGAAGGAAAACACTTCACTTACATCTGAACTTCAGCGACAAGAAAAGGAGCTTTCTAGGTAAGGGGCACAAGGTTTGTCTAGGGAGTACCACAGCAGCTGAAGAGTTTTGTTGTTGGTGGTTTTTCCTCCCAAAAGAGATACTAAATGTTAATTATACACAGCAAGCTGTGGACATATATTTAAAAGCAAGACCGTGGCCAGCCTTTTGTGTCAGCACGCTGTCTAAGGAGGCAATAATGGACTGTATTACTATGATTGCACTAAGCTGATATTCACACATCAAAACCAATGTGTTAAGCTTTTAAGGGTGAAAAGTACCTATTTGTGTAAATTTAAAATGCATAAGGAATCAATTGGATTTTGTTTTTCAGCTCTCAGAAGCAGAGTTTAGCACTAACCAGTGATATAAGTGTTCTAGAAATGTCTCGGAAGGAACTTGAAAATCAAATGGGATCTTTGAGAGAAAAACATCAACGGGATGCAGCCAGTCTGAAAACTCAACTCAGTGAAGCTGAAAGTCAAGCAAAAGATTTTCAGAAAGAGGTAACATGAAATATTTCCATTTTGCAAGAATGTAAGGCCCATGACTGACCTTTTTAAGCTAAAAGAAAAGGGACTTTTAGTTCTTTACTTTTTGTAGTAAATAATTTTTTATATGTTTATTGCTAGCAGTTTAAATGGTAGCTATGAAAATTATAAACTGGGAGTCAAATCTAAAATGAAAGACTTCAGGTAAATATGTATGTTCTTTGAGAACTTCCTAAACTTTACTTACATGCATTACTGTAGTGAATTTACTTTTAAGATGTTCAGACAGAGAAATCATTATTCAGAGTCTTCATGAACATCATGGTCCAGAGTTTCTTTAGCTGTTTTGAGTCAAAGTTAATTTTCAGTCTAATCTTCCCAGTTAGATTTCAACTGTTTTATTTGGCAATAGGACTACATATTCTTTACAAAGTGCATAAGAAGTGTCAGTGCGTTTGTAAGTGCATAAGGAAGAGTCAGCATTCTGAGTATGTATTTAATCTGCCTGGCCTCTAAAGATTATGTCTGGAAGAAAGTCATAGTCCCCAACACTTACTTGCTTCCTCTTAGGAGCATTTTGGATGTTTCCCCGGTCACTGCTCTTAGTTTCTTTTGCAGTCCTTTTGTTTGTTCCGCGGTTAATTAATCCATGTCACATTCCTTACAATTCTCAGAATCTGAAAATCCCAGTTGTCTTAATCTCTGTTTTGTAATCAGATCAGTATTTGTAAAGATGCCTCATCTTCTAAATTTGTGGTGAATGCCAGTACTGAAGGTCATTGGTTCTGTCCTTACTAAGCTCAGTCAGGAGGACTGCTAGAATAGGAAAAATGGAATGTGGGTTTGAAAAAGGAAAAGCTACCCATTCTGTAGGAACATGACACATTCACCCAGTAGTGTTTGTACTTGACCCACACTGAGGATTATGGCATGACAGTAACAAGGTGTAATAATTTTTAAGTGCCTGCCTTGCTCTTACATTTGAATTTGCTGTGTGGGAAGAGGGTTTGATTTATTTCATAGAGAGTGTTGAATTTTGCACCTATTAGAGGGATGTAGGTATGTAAGCTGCAGCCTATATGTAAGACCACTATTCAAATGTGAAGGACTCCTTGATCCCCTGTTTCTTGTTTAATCTCTGTAGTTTTTATAGTCCTTTCCAATATGATAATGAACAATTGGTATGAGAGATTAATTAAGGCTTTGCTTTTACTTTGTATTTCCTTGGATTTAGTTGTCTTAGCCCTGCCAAGCTGGGCAAAAAAATTTGATTTAGAAAAAAAACCTGAAATCTAAATTCCACCCTGCTTTTATGAAAAGAGAGTGCACTGATGCAAGGTGAGTTAGTCTAGGCAGATGACAACAAAGGGAGCTGTGTGCTAAGCAGATGTCAGCATGTGCTGGGTATCCAGGGGTCCACAGATTGTTCTCTCTTTGTCTTTAGTATGAAAGAACACAGACTGTGCTCTCAGAGCTGAAGGCCAAGTATGAGGTGGCTGAACAACAAAACCAGTCACTCACGGAGGAGCTCAAACAATGTAAAGAAAACCTGAAGCTGCTACAAGAAAAAGGAAACAATGTAAGTCTGTACCGAATGTGCTGGGAAAGTGAGATTCAACACTGTTGAAGAAATATGGAAGGAATGGAAGGAATATGGAAGAGTCAAATAGAAAAGGATGGCCTTTTTTTAAGAAAAAGCTGGGTACCATATTATGCAAAATTCCATTCTGGTCCTACCTGTGCAGATTTGCAGATCATTACACTGTTGCAATTACACATGAAAGTTAAATTTACAGTTGCTTGACAGTTTTAAGTATGTCCTTAGATACCTGCTCTCTTGAAAACATATGGCTTAAATACTAGTGAACCAGAACTAAGTAAAATTTTCTGACTTGAAAGAATGATACAGGGGTAATAGCTGACAAACCTGTATCCAAATGACTTGAGTAAACTTTTTCAAGCTGCTCTCGTTTTATTGGCACTGATTACAATGGATGTTCCCACCTTACTCTTGCTTATGCTTCTTAACCAAGGTTATGTCTGGTGGGCTCATGCTTTAAACAGTACAGTTGAACTGTCCTTGCTATTCACTAATGAAAATAGTGCTCTCTGGTTTTTGATTTATTTGAGAGGTTGTATCATTAGAACTGAGTTGTCAGCTAAAGACAACTTTTTATTTTACTGAGATTCCGAATCTTCCAAGCGTTGAGGATGTGGCAGACAAATTATAAGGTGGTCATAGCCTAATTTAGGTCCCTTACTACCCTGAGGGGGCTGATTTTGTCTTCCTGTACTGCCTCTGTGGCCAGTGCTGGGTGAACAGCTCCTGTAATACACAGTACAAAACAGAAGGAAAATGAATGCTTTGTAACAGACTTTAGTAAACTGTTTCTCTGACTAGAAAGAAAGTTTTAGAGGTCCTATCCTCTAAATGAGCTGTCTGCTGGATGCCTAAAGTTTGTATGAATATCCTTGCCATAATTAATTCTTGAATACAAACCCTGAAAATTGTGGAGCTGTCAAAGATGTAAAGAATTCAAAGCCTTTCTCACTTTTTTCAGACATATTTTCAGGAATATAATTTCATCATTCTCTTGGAACCTGATTCTTGCTTAGGATTTTTCTGCAGTGATCAGATAATGCTGAGTTACTTGATTTACTTAAAGCAGAAGTCAAAAACAATCACACTAAAACCCCACCCCATTTTAATAGAAGAGATCACAGTGGATAAATAATAGTGAATGTGAGATTTTCTGCTCTGTTAAAAACATTAATCTCAGAATCAAAGTGATCAGTGGAAAAGGGGAAAAAGTAAAGGGTTGAAGTACTGTGAAGGAAATTGGAGCACCTGATGAAAGTGGAAAAACTGAAAAAAAATTTTAGGGAGAATTAGAGGTGAGTATTTAAGTGAAAGCAGAAACCACAGCAGTTGCCAAAATCTGCTTGCAGAAGAGGAGTTAATTGTGACAGTTGAAACCTGGAGGTCAGGGTGTGATGAAGAGCATCCTCCATATAAGGGCAAACTCACTGCTCACCAAACATTACTCAGTCAGTAATGTAAAACATATCCATCTTGGGGATTGTTTCAAACATCATGGATACTGGGCTGAGTTCCAAGGTCAAATTTTTCAAGTACCATTGCCCCCTTATGCTGGAATCATTATCTGCTACTTCATTTCTGAGGACATAAAGTGACTTCCCACTGTGGGATTTGTTCGTTTTTGCAGCCCATCTGTGTCCGAGCTTGCATTTCTTCATATTCTAAAAAAAGATGCACCATTTTATTGAAGTACACAGTTAAATGCTCCTTGACAATAGGGAGATTTTTATGTATTGATAAGTTTTTGAGGGGAAAGTCTAATAATTTGGAGGTGCTCTCATTGAATGTGATGGATATTTATCACTGGTTTCATTTGCCAAGAATGTGTATAACTTAGAAAAAGAAATCTATACAAGTTCAGTGAATCATCAAATGTTAGAAAAGACAAGGCTTCTGCGCTCCATTTGGGATGTCATTTAAATATTAAGTTTTAATATTTAAGTTTTACTTTTAAAAAAGATTGCAGTGTTGTGTTTTTTAAATGCTTAGTGGTGTGGTGTTTGCATGCTTGTAGCCACTGGTTACTTCCTGATGCGCTTTACACAACAGATTTAATGATGTGAATGGTTTGAGAACATCAGCTGCTCTGGTTGATTTAAACCTCTGGCACTTGTTGAACACTGCTGTGATTATTTCTGCCAACAGGCTTTCTGTGGGAAGGTGGCACTGTGATTCGTGGCACCCATGACACAAAAATAATCTTGCATGAAAATCAATAGTTACACATGATTTTTATGTTAAGTACTTGCCTTGATTGAAAAAAAAATTAATTGAACAAGACAAGAATACCTTCTAATATTCCTGTGTTTTGAACCATATTGGAGGTTCTATGAATTAGTAATTCCTACAAATTCATAACAGGATGAGATTTTACTTACTAATCACAATGTTTTAGAAAATTGAAGCATGAATTTATAATTTATTTATTTGACTGAAAAAAATCAAGGTAGCTTCAGCACAAACAGTTTTAAAAATATTTGGCATGGTTTGACCTTAACCTCTGTGTGTCTTTGTGTGTGCACAAATATATGGAGTAGGATACAGAGAAAGCAGATGTCTTCCAAGGACAGATTAAAAATCATTTAGGTCCATTTTTGTTTTTAATTTTTCATGCCACAAATGGAGGCTGTTTCATCCAGAATGTGCAGAGGTTTCCATGAGTAGAACACAGCTGAGAAAAAGTGTGGATGGTTCTGAGGAGGCCATAAGCTGGATGAGCCCTGCAGTCTGGCCAGCTGCTGGTTTGACCCAGCTGCAGCATTTGATCAATTTTCAGAATTGCATTTGGTCACAAGGCTGCTGACCTGGCAGAGATGCTGAGCTTTGTGCTATCTCTGATAGAAATGCGCTTCTCTGATTTTCAGCAGCTGGGTGTGGATTGTACAGTCACGTTACAATCTCACAGAAATATCTGAACTACTGGGTTTGCCTGTGGACATAGTGTAATTGATTCACTAATGGAGGAAAAAAGATTGTTTTTCCAGAGGCTGGTTGTGGAAAATGGAAAAGGCTAACTAGCAAAGAATGAAGAAGTAGCTCGAAAATTCAATATTTGGTGCGAGTCTGTCTCTCAAGAAATCCAAATAGGATTTCCTCTAACTTAGAAAAACTAAAACCAACTATAAATAAGATACAGGCAAATCAGTTTAACATTCATATTGTTTTCAAGTGCTAAATTCCAAGTTGTGACAAGAGGTTTCTTGGAACATTTTCTGCTTACTTCCCTTTATTTTTAAACATCCCTGTTCATTTGAGTAGAATGGTGTACTAACTTTGTATACCAGATTAGATAATGCTGTAATGTGTTAGATGTCTTTAATACATTTCACTTAAAGCAAAACTTACTGACTTATTTTCCCCTCTCTAAATCATCTTTACCTGATTGATTTATAGCACAAAGTGATTTTTAATATCCCTTCCCTTCTTTAGCCTTCCATATTACAACCCGTCCCAGCCGTATTCATCGGCCTAATCCTGGCTTTCCTGTATTGGTGTTACGGCCCATTGTGGTAGCGAAAGGTACAAGCACTACTGTTCAGTCAATGTATGTTTGTCCCTCACCTGTTTGTGCCATTTCTGTATCAAATAGTGCATGGTGAAATGCTCACAGGTATTTCTTTACCTGAAGCAAACCCTTCATTTAATACACCATTCTGTTGATACTGATGAGCTGAGCAATCCACTAATCATTTAATATCTCTGTGATTTCTTTAAGTCTAACAATGAATTTTGTTCTCACTGGTGCTTGAACGTGCCTCTTCTAACTCGGTCTCAGTTTGTCTTTAGCAAATGGGCTGCCTTTTGCACAATGCTGTGATGCTAGGGCTTGTAAGAAAACTTAATTGCTTAATTAACTATGAAAAATGAAGAGTTTGCCTCTAATAATGAAATTCAACAAGCTTTGGTTCCTATCTATGGACTAAGAAATTCCTCTCTGACTCTAAACACTTTAATTTTTCTCACTATTGCTGATGGAAAGATGGGGAAAAAAGACAAGAAATAGGTGGTTGGTTTGTATTCTGAACTCTCAGCTTGCATTTTCTCGTCTCTCAGTGTGTCCTCCTCTTAAAATGCCATTGTTGTCATGCAATGTTGTGACAGTCTGTTAAAAATGGTGTTATTAGGATCTGCTACAAACTAAGTCATAGATCTGGATTTAAATGGTTGAAAGTTAAAGATGTGCATAAACCTCTGTCTAGCCTTGACTTGGCACAAGCGATGTTTTAAACATCTCAAGCCTTGGCATGTTCAGAGGCAGATTTCTCTGAGGTGTGTGCGGTAACAAACCTGGAGATGCGGAGCTGCCAAGAGTCCTCCAGCCCATCCTCAGTCCCCAAGAGCTGTGGAGTTCCCCGTGCTAGAGGCATGGTTTGCTGTGGTGCTCCAGGTCAGGACCAGCCTGCAGCAGGGCTCCTGGCTTACACTGTAGTGATGCCTATCAACAGGTACTCAGGACTTGCAGGAACCACGAGGTAATCTGATTAGTATGAATTAGAACAAATATGATATTGATTTCTTTTTTCTCTCCACACAGAGACAATGGCCTTGGATGCCTGTGATGGCAGCTTTGGTTGCTGTAACAGCCGTGGTGCTGTACCCAGGCCTAACCAGAGCTTCTCCATGAGAACTGTTGTTGAATCCATACACCGTCCTCCCTTTAGAAGCTGGCAACATTCATATACTGAGGGAAAACAGATTAATTCTCTTCCTTTTTACCTCTTAATACAGCACAGCTCTGCGTGAGAACAGCAGTAGGGTCATTTGCTTTAAACTGTATAAAATGTATCTGTCTATAAAGAGGGAATAAAATTGTGATTCATCATTCTGTGAGCAATATTTTTGCTTACAACTTCATGCAAGTTTTAAATTAGTATGTTGGAATTCTGAATACTATAATGGTGGCCTAAAGCAGGCTTCATGGTACCAAATTATTTATAATGGCTAGGGTTGTGGACACTGACTTTAGAATCTGATTGCTAGACTTAAGAGGAAAATACTGATTTGGACATCCAAGCCAAGTAACCTTGCAGATACTTGGGAAACAGATGCAGTGTGCTCAGTGCCTTTCAGTATGATCTATTTTTTTTTTAACTAGTGTATAATTTTACTTGCTGTTAGTCACTGAGCTGTTGGGAACAAGACTAAAACTTCTCTTACTACGCCTTTCGAAGGAAGCATATTTTTCTTTCATAAGGATTGCTTTATTAATGGGTGTTGGGAATAAACACAATTCATGTCCAGCCTTAAAGAGATAGAGATACTGATGGTGAAGACCAGCCTGAAGTATTTAGTGTGCGCGTGTGCGAGTGAAAGCATGTGTGTGTTCTTGAGTGAACTAAGGTGTTTCTGGGAGCAAGTACTTGGTCATTTGATGGACATAGTGCATTGATTCAACTTATGTTAACTTTAGTTTGAATGTAATTTATTAAATTTCATATATTTAAAGAGATACGTTCTTTAAAAGTATGAATACCTTCTCACATATCTCATGTATCAGTTTATTTTTTCAGTCATTTGATACTTTCTGACTTGAGCTGGAGAAGCTCTTTAGAATAAGCTTCTGTGGACATAACTTTATTAAGAGAATTGCTACAGTACATCTGTGATAGCTGAGAAAATCTAGATGCATAAAATTCTACAAAATTGGAATCATATACCTGATGAAGTATTGTCAGGTGAAGATGATTTTAATTTGGTAGCAAAATTTTATGGCTCCTTATCACATGGCTGTAAGTATGATGCAGTGGTCCCCATTACAAAGTTTATTTTCGTTATCTAAGTACTATAACTATTGCTATTTGCTGACTTTTGGTGGGAATTACTGTAGTTAGTGCTGAATTAAATGTAGACAGTAGTTGTCTTGTTCAGCTCAACAGTTCTGTCAAAAAAGTTTATTAAAGACTTAAATAATATGGTAAAGAATGGTAAAGTAAAGTAATATGGCTCTGCTAAAGGAAACTTCAAAATAGGGAGGTAATCTCAGCAATTCAATTGGCTTTAAAGAATGTTATGGCAATTGACAGATAGTTTAAATATTTAAATAGAAATTTAGTATATAATTTACTTTGTGAGGTTTTAAGGGTCATTGTCCTTTAATAAAGGTTCTGTCTTAAGTTACATGGGATTTGCTAATGGGAGGAGTATTAGTTGGAGAAAATAGTCCACAAGTGACTTGTAGAAAATAACTATTGTCATTTAGTTCATTCATTTCATCTTTTTCATCCTTTTCAGTTGCAGGAAGCCACCCAACCACAGAACACTCGTATGCCAGTGGTACTTAGTACCTCTTGTATATAGGTTATTGCAAATATTGTTCTGAAATGCTTAACTTCAGAATTACATTTTTTTAAGTAATTAATTGTTTTAAATCTATTTTGTAAAGATATAAAAATACACTAGAATTTCTGGAGTACAGATTAAACTATTTGCACTAACACACGTGATGTGCATGATTTAATAAAATAACTTTACTCTCCCTATGCATGTTTGAGTTGAATGTCATTTGAAAACAAGAGATTCATGCTAAGTTTCTTTTGCACTAGATATTGCCACAGTTACTAGGCACAATGTCTGCAGCATGTCCAGTAAGAGCAAAAGACTTTTTTTTTTTACCTTTTATTTCACATTTGTGCTGGTTTAAGTTTTGGTCTAGCTGGTCCCTCTGTCTGTGGTTTTCAGAAGGAAGTGGGGTAGGAGAGAGTCACGCAAGGCTTTGGGAGTATATTGCCATGGAGGAGGAGCGGGTGTTGGAGCTGCAGGGTGGATGTGCCCGTGGCAGGGGTGGTGAGACTTCTGCAGGCAATAGAGGAAAGTCCTGCTGGGCGAAGGGAGCCCGATGCTGACTCCTCACCTCTTCAGCATCTCCAGCTCCCAGTTTGCCCCTGTTTCAGCTGCTGTTTCTTTTGCAGTGGATTCCCTCCCCTCCTCCCTGCTGGTAGCCTGAGGAAGGGAGCCTGGTGGAGCCGGGGGTCGCTCCGCCCTGGCAGCAGGGAAGGTGCCAGGTCCCCTGGGGCAGCTGGGGGGTCCTGAACCACAGCAGTTCTGCCTGGGGCTGCATTTGTCCTTGTGTTAAAGATAAATGCTGTGTTTTCCAAAATCTTTAGCACATCAGAGAGCTGCAGTTTGAGGCCCAACATGGTTGTATTAAAGGAGAAATATTTCTAATTTCCTTACATGCATGTACGCATATTTATATTATATACACAGGTGCATAGTACACATTGCATGGGGGCTTGTGCTTACAAGTATACCTGTGATTCCCTAATACAGTGCCTTTTCCAGGAGTTCTTGATATTTGCATGTTCAAATGATGAGGAATGAGCTAAAATGCACAGTTCACTCTTCTGCTTTGAGAATCCCTGGAGAAGGGTTGGGTAACTGGGAAGGTGCTGTTCTTCAGTGCTTTGATACTAAAACACCAAGTGGGGTTATTTTGCAAGGACTCCTTGCACAAACCTTTCTGGGTTTTTATTGCTTTTTATTGCTTTTATTGTGTGCTCTTTTACATTCATATTTAGGTTCTTTCTTTTGTTAGGCTTGATTGGATAAGCCTTGGAGTTACTATATCGAGCAGCTTGTCACATGTCTGAGATGCTCCACTTGTAAAACAAGTGCTCTGAGCTTGCACTGAAATTTGAGGTTTTAAAAAGGTTTCTCATAGTAGCGAAGTTAGAGAGTTGTTTCATCAGTTGCTAGTTCAATTTGGAAGATTTAGTATAAATCTTGGAATATCTGAACACTTCTTCAGATTTGTCCTGGTGTCTTGAGTGAGGCACCTTTCTAAATTATAAAATAATTTACCTACATGGGGACTAAAATATCAGGCCTTTTATTTAAAAATACTAATATGTGAAAAATACAGTGTGATTTTCCTGTTCCTTGTAGCTGAATTAAATACGTTCTTCCAGAGTCTTTGCCTCATCCTTTTTGCAGAATGTCTGGATTTTTTGGTGCTAAATGGAGAATTGTGAGCCTGCACAATCTATTGCAAGAGTTCTCATAAAACAGTGAGAATTAGTATCAGATAACTGATAGCTGAAGAAAAGGTAATCACCTGTGCATGTATTTTTGGGGTATATCTGTAAGTTATTTTTCTAATCAAGTCTTCTGAAGTATGTTAACTGTTCCAGATTTCTGTATGCTGTATGTAAGATTTTGAATGTCTCCTGCCTTAATCCATAGGGTTCTGCCACTTGAAAGAATCATCCATTCAGCTTGAATCTTTTCCATGACAAATCCACTGCCGAATTCATTCCACCAGCAGCACCTGAGTGCTCTAAAACACCAGGTCCACCACTATGGCTTTTGGGAAGCCACTGTCCTTAGCACTGGCTCTGCAAGTAGGGCTGGCCAGGTTTCACCAGGGGCCTTTTCCCCCTTCTGGCTGTTCATCCACCATTAGCATTTCATTAGCAACTGCCTCAAAATTATGAGTCTCCTATTAATAATAGCAGTTTATCGTATAACAGAATTAGAAGCCATATTCTTTCCTTCTCTCTTGCATATACCTCTGGGTCTGT